GGCCTCCCCACTCCGCCCCGCTGGCTCCACGTCGATACACGTCGTAGCCGCAGCCGGAGTGCCACCGGGACCCTCTGTGTCAGTTGTCCACCGTCCATCATGGTTCGCAGGAATGAGAAGAGCGATAGGAAGTCGTACGTCCAGGTTGAGCTGCCCCCCAGGGGTCCTGGTAAGTTGGAGAACGAGAGGAGTTTCTGAAGAGTGACCAGAGGATAAGTGTTCTTTGTCTCGCGAAGTGTAGTGTAGTGGCAATGCAATGTGATTAGTGGTATGTTTACGTTTGAAGGTGTTTTGCAGTGTTTTCAAAGTCTTATATGCGTTAAACTAGTGATTTATTCGAACTAAAACTGTATTGTCGTGGTATTTTAGTAGGGTTATGTTACGGTAGTAGGCTATAAGAAATGTGCCATAAAAAATCACGAAACAGATTTTTGCTCGTTGACTCGTAGGAAACTATTTTTATTCTGGAAGGCTGTATTTTGAAATTTTTTCAAGTAGGAGGTGCGAAAATCATGATAAATGTTTCTCTACTGACCGCGTAACGTTATAGGGTTGTTTACGATAAATAGGTAACAGCTGTTCAAATTAGACAGATAACAGGCGGATATATTTGTCTGAGCGAAATATAGGTTGTAATTGGGAATCTTAACACTTACAACTTAAAATTTCCCAACTGCTATATCTTAACTGCCTCAACTAAGTTGAGTTTTTCCAAAGAATTTTCTTCAGAAGGGCGTTACGCCCCACTGACCAGACGACCTCCAGATTTTCACGTGGGCGAAGGCTAAATTGTAGGTGTAACATATGGAACAGTTCATTGTCATTTGACATGTATCATTTCTTGTTTAATGTCGGAGGTAGTGGGTAGCGTTTACTTATTGCAAGTTCTGTATGCAGTTTCAATGCGATTGGTTCATTTTTGTAATTTCAAATTTTTGTAAATTTTCAAGCACGTTATCATGCAATTTGTCTGAATTAATCATCTGTACTATCCTTTTTTCGTGAGTAATGGAATTCAATACCAAAGATTTTTGTACGGCAACTTGATAAGGCTAGGTATTCTTAAACTTTTATCTCAGTGCAGTATTTTTAATAGCTCTAGATATATGTACTGTAGTGCTCTAAACCGATGTGTCCATCAAACATTTGGAATAAGTTATTACGATCATTCAGTCTGGCACACAAACACTAGATTGGTGGAATGCAATTAAAACAGGTAGAAAGCAGTATAATTAGAGTAACGCTTTCTGAATCTGTATGTTGAACGAAGACGTGATTTACATAATTTCTCTACGTATTTAACCACAGAGACAGTTTGATTGATTTATTAATACAATTGTGAATTGTGATTATAACGACTGCAGGGAATTATGCTAATCTAAACTGTATAGTCTGATATTCTACTTTTGAGGTAATTAGAGGTTAATTGTTGGTAACGGTTCAATTCAATTACCTTTCCTGAGACTTAAAATCTGAACTCTCCTTAATTAGCGTCTGGGGAGTGCGATTGTGTAGGATAATGGAAACTTTAAACGCTGCTCCAGATTGTCATTGTAATTAATTAAACTAATAATGGAATCCATAAAAGTAACGTAAATCAAACCTTATCACTAGCATGGCAGTCAAAATCATCGTAAAAATGTAGTAGTTTTTGGGCTAATTATTCATTAAAGCGCTATTGTTGTTACGGTCAGACTGATTTAGACGATCTTATGGAATTCGGCACAAAAAAGGGTCAGTGTAAAGCCTTTTTCATTGCATTTTAGACAAATATACAGAGTGTAAACATTTAATCTGTTAATCGTAATCTGATAGTCATATATGATTCCTTTCCAACGAAAAAAGGATGTTACTAACTGAAAAATTAAGTTGATTGCTCAGTTTTATAACTTAGTTTACAGTTTATCGGTAAAGTTATCACTCGCAATGCTAGCGTGGCTGTTACGTGTTATCTTTTGTTTAAATGCATGTGTTAAAAACGCCGGAAAAACTGATCGATGGGTCAAATGTCGGTGAACTGTGGAAACGTGTTGGGAACTGTGCCAAGTTTGGTCCATGTGGCTGTAACACGGGTTATGAGTTACATTTTAGTCGTCGTTAACCTTTTCACTTTTTATGTAAATATTTTAAGATCTCGTAATTAGAAGAAGAGATCCAAATTATTGTTACTGCTGAATTTCTCACCAATGAGTTAAGAGTTTAAAATCTTACGGTTTAAAATTGTGTTTCTTATGTTAACGACGTTATCCTTTATGCTTGTAATCAAGTGGATACAAAGTTTTTAACCGGTTTTGTTGTGCGATGGTAACAATCAAGTACGTTCTGGCAACTCTAACTCGACTCCAACCTGTCAAACTACTTGTGTGGCTGAATCAGTCTTGAAATTTGCCAATTCTAAGACTCTTCAAAACACTTCCTTTATGGTTTAGTCCGTGTTATCTGTGTTTACTGATACAAGTAAACAATTGCAACGACAAAGGAGATACTAGAACTAGTTTACTTTCACTACCAAGGTTGTAAATTTACCCGTTTTTTCGTCCAACAATATTCCTTCTGTAGTCTCGCTGTAGCAGTATACACCTCATAGGGGATTGTATCATCCCCTCCTAGCCTAGATCATCACAGACTTTTAGTAGACTTTGCCTTTAGTAGACTTAGTAGGGTAGGTACGTATTTAGTAGGTAGGCTTTGTCTTTAGTAGACTTTGACTTTTATACTCTTTTAAATCTGTGGTATTATGTCGCTAGTGATGGTTGTAGTTTTGTTTTAACCGTGTCTACGGTGGAGATGTAGTTACCGTCGTGTTTTTTTCTTTTGTGTGTTTTCACACCAAGTGACAGTTTCGACATTTCTCTGTGAGGGAACGGTCCAAACTCTGGTGTTCGTGAACGTGTCCACTGTCCAGTAGGATTGGACGATAGAGGCGGAATAACTTGGACGCCAAGATACAAATAACCGCGGACGGAGGAGGTTTCGGATTCTTGGGCGTCTGCCCGTACAAAACTGTCCTTGTATTGTTAATCCATCGAGGTAATTTATTCACTTTTGATGGGAATTAAGTTATTTTGGACGCGTTTTGTCGATGCAACGCACGATTTTGAGGGGAATACCTGAGTTCAACTTGATAAAAGGTAAACGGTAAACTGAAAGACTTGTAGCTTGCATGATGTGGATAACGTATATGTTTAGTTTAAAAGGCTGCCAACATGGTGTACTTCTCTGTGATCTTCCTTTGGGCACACTATTGTAAAACCTAGAATAGATTTTATACCGTGATCAGAATCGAGTAACAACTAGTAAAATTGTCAAATGCTGCTTTTATGTTTTTTATTCGAATCGACTGGTTATTTTATAATGCCATCCAGATGTTATATCTTCATCATATCTCTTGTGTTCCATCAATGCAATCTGAACCCACCGAATATCGGAACTCCACAGTTAAAAAAAATTAAAAAAAAATGGTTAGTTATCTACGTTTTGTAACATTAATCCTTTTTGTATTGTAAATTACAGTTTCTGTCATTGCCATCTCTACTGTGGCTGTGACTAAGCAATATTGCATTAGTCATGTCGGTAAAACTGCTTATTTAGTCATAGCAATTGATGAGTCAAAATAACGCAACTAGTTGAACTTTGCCAGTAACATTATGCAGACGATATAGTAGCACATCCCAAGCTAGATTCGCCACTGTGTTAACAATTTAATTGTTACTTTCCTACCCATTCAACTCAACAACGAAGCAGGCCTAATTTACAGTACGTATGTAATAATTGACTGGAGTACCCAATATTTTTGTAGCACCCTACGTAGTTGTTAGGTGTTCATATTGAAGCCTGGAGCAATACAGCAAGGTTCTATAAGATCAATTTGCAATAATTACTGTACATGACAAAACAAAGAAATCGGAAATTGTGTGTTAAAAAAATTAGTTTATTATCGTCTCTGGAATGATTTAGTTGTGTATTGAATGCACTACAATAATTGTACAGTAGTTGTATTGGAGGTGAGAGGGGGAGATTTTGAAAGAACAACCTTGGACCTTGAATTTGATCCTCTGTCTCCTCTCTTTCTCGCACAATCCCGACCTACCTCAATATGACGCGTGGTGTGCAATATTACTACCTTGGTACATGATACAACACGATTTACGCTTATAGTGTTGTGATTGTAAATACATTTTCAGTAAGATTGACTATTTTCTTTTGTCAGTTGCTAATTTATCTACTGAATAAATTGTCACCAGGTTTGACTTGTCAAATCACATTTCTCATTGGTTGCAAAGGTGGTGCTTTGGCGCACAGTATTTCCCTTTTGGGGAAAACTTATTACTTTTGGAATATGACTATTACTTTTACTTTTTACATTGAAAGGCCACACACACTTCATAGCCTCGTGTTTTAAATGACAGAATATTGTTAACTTCGTCAGCTACAAATTGACTTTATTTACGTTTATGACAAAGGGTGCTTAAATCAAATAACCTTTTGTTTCGCGTCCTCATGCTTTGTCTGTTTCAGAGATTTAAACATCATGTCTTATCTGATTCAAAATATTTAATCTTGTCTAAACAAAAGTGTAGCCTATACTATCTTTTTGGATTTGTCTCAAAAACTTTAACCACCATGTTTTGTGTACTAAAAAGTATATAACCTTAACTTTTGTTCAAAATTGTGTGTTTCAGTAATTTTAGTACACGACCTAATTTTTGCCTTTTTTTTTGTCACACCAAGTAGTATAGTATCGAGATGGTTTTCTTTTATTTTTTGTCTGTCACAGAGTAAATAATATCGTGGTTTTACCCAGTTTTGTCTTATAATATATTGTGGTTATTGTCTGTCACAGAGTGTAGATAGTACATATTGCATTTTTTCCCTATTTTGTCAGGCATAGAGTATACAATAAAGGTTTTTTTTCGCATTTTTATCTAACACAGAGTGAATAATATTGTATTTGTCCATTTTTGTCTGACACAGTATATAACCTCATGTTCTGTCCACAGTGGAGGCCCTGGTATACTGGAGGGATCCCAAGAAGTCCGGAGTGGTGTTCGGAGGAGGCATGGCGATACTGCTCTCCCTCTGCTTCATGTCTCTCATCAGTGTGATCGCCTACACGTCTCTCCTAGCTCTCACCGGCACCATCTGCTTCCGTATCTACAAGAACATCCTCCAGGCTGTACAGAAGACCAGTGAAGGCCACCCCTTCAAGTGAGTAACTAGACATTCTATTCCCAGATTAAAGTTATAAGCTATAGCCAGTTATAGTAATGTGTTACACTCTGGTCTCGCAGACACGTCTCGAGTCTGATGAAATTGAAAGACGCCCGTCTTTTACATGTCTTATGTCTTTTGCATGTTTGAGACATTTCTCTAAACTATACTAGTTAATCAAGTACAAAATTTCATCAGAATGTTGATGTCCTTGCCAGAAACGTAAGCAGTACAGGATTTTAAATATGGTCGACTGATTCTCTAACATAAATGCAGAGATATCAAATTAGTTTGTTACAATCCAACAATTGAATCAACATCCTCACACAATTTATCAAGAATATTAAAAACAAAACTTAACACTATGATCACTGATCAGTTAACCATTCAAAACGTGCTTTGCAGTTTGTAGACAACTGAATAATTATGAATCATGGGGTAAATAATTGATACAGTAGACTCCCTCTTATCCGGACACCTTTTAACCGGACATTGGTTTAACCGGACTACACTCGGTGGAAATGACATCTCTTTAACCGGAAAACTTTTATCAGCCCATCAGTTTAACCGGACTAGATAGGCAGGAAGTGAATGGTACTGAAACAATAGTTCTCGTGGGAAAGATTTGAGACCAGTGATCACGTGTCTGAATAAAATGCTCTCCTAAATTTAAGTTAAATATGCATTTAAACAGTCTGTTTTTATGAGTTTTTGCGTACGTCAGTTTAACTGTGAAAACTGTTATCCGGACTGGCCTCGGTCCCGAGGAGTCCGGATGAGAGGGATTCTACTGTAGTTACCACCAATACACAAAGTAAGCTCCATTTTTAGTAGAATTGGGTTAGCTCAGACACAAAGTCAAACTTAAAAAGTGTTCCTACACAGGAAATTATACAACTTAGTCACTAAAAAACTGACCAGGAATTCAGGGAATTTTCTCATGGAAACAATTATTTTACTTTGTCCCCATACTCAAAAAGCATTAAACTAATAGGAAGGCTGTTTTACTGATCTGGAATTGTCACCTGAACCCATTGAGTGGGAGCAAAAGGTGTAATAGAAATTGAGTTAGTGAATTCCATTCTAAATTTCCCAAATCCAATCACTTACTCTGCTTTGTGAGCTTGTTTTAAAGTCTATTTCACCATTACAGACGTCATGTTCTCTAATTAACTAATGAAAAAAGACAGTAGAAACTTTCACATGAGATCTCTAAAGAACCACAATATAGGCTAATGATGAAAAAAACATTGTTTCGTCGGAGTAGCAAATACTGAGGTAGAATACTTTTTGTGAAATACACTATATATTTAATTTGAACCATTTAGAGTTCAAATAAGACCAAAATAATGGACACAAGATTACCTATCACAACCACACTTTTACTTACAGTGTATGTAAGGCCGGGGCACCACGTGGCGGATCGTCCGCGTGGCTTAAAGAGTTAAGCGTGAACACAAAACTTTTGAAAATAAGTGTTTAATTTGTTCATAAAACACGAATGTAATTTATTATATCTGTAATTAGTGAATGACTGATGAGAGGCTAGGTGAATTGTTGAGAGAGTTTATATAAAGGTTGTGGAGTAAAGCCAAGAGACACAAATTAAAACCAACAATGAGACTGAGTCCTTTTGAGCTCCTTACAGAAGTGTTCTTACAATCCGGGTTCTCTTTCTTTATTCACACATAAAGCTTTTTACCTCACACCTTTAAAATATAAATTTAAACGGATTATAAACATGTAGGTAGGTGTCTTGACTAAATTTAAATTTATAATAGTGCATTCTTATTGGAAAAAAAATCTTTTTGGCTTTCCGTATGGTTTTATTTGCACAAGTGTCATATGGGTCTGTTAAATATTTAAGTCTGGATACTTCCTGTTATTTTGTTGCTTCCAAAACCTTACAACCTCTCATGATTAATATGATATTCTGGCTGTTAAACAGAGGTATAGGAGTAGTTTAAATTAGGATGGTATAACGGTATACTAATGAATAGTGGTATTTTGAATAAAGATACATATTTGAACACAGCAAGAGATAAAACTACATTTTGCTGATATTGGGTGATGTTGGCTGGGTCTGATTATAGTGCAAGGCCGCGGTTGGCAGTCATTCAAGCAGTAGTGCCAACCTACACACAAAGCTGTATTATTCTGATTTGAAGCACCAATTCTTACAATTGTATGAGTGAACTTTGTTTAAAACAAAACTATTAGTGATTTGATGCAAGGAGTAAATATAAACTTACTGAGGGTACGAAGAAACTTTTTTTCAACATTTTTAAAGTGGCAGTCCTTTTTTTAGCCTGGAATAGTGGCCAAAGTTTGTGGGAAGAAAGTAAGAAATTAACGTGTAAGCTAGCTCAAGCAAAAAGTCAACACTAAGTTAAACAAAGATTGAATGAAGATTTAATTAAACTCCGTTTACAGTTCTCAATCCTCATAATTTTATAATTTTGTATTTTTGTGATTTTAAATTCTTATCGATACTGGATAAGTATAAGTAGGGTATAAGTATATACAGATACTGTACAATGTGTGACAGGGCCTGTAAACTTAAACCGAGCTCCCTTGCACTTGAGCTTGAGGCAAGTGTACTAGCTATTCTTAGGCTCACAAGAAGCTGATAGCGCTATTAGTTTCAAGAAAGATTAACACCGCCTTGAACACTCCCATACTACTCCCATAGTTGTTAGTGGCTAAAATATTACACTTTTATTATGAGCCAATTTAGTACAAAAACCTGGCAAGTTTTCAAGCTGTTAGTAATAAAGTTGCTTGCTGCTGTTGGTAAACTATAGGTATAGCAATACTGCATAAAATATGTTACATACCTTACGTCGCCATTCCTAAATTTGTCAAATCAATGTATCTATGTTCTTTGTGTGTGTGTGTAAATGTTATATTTTTGTGTATTGACGACGACCAGTGCTCCATTGGGGGGGGGGGGGGGGGGACGGAGTTCTGAACCTCTCTTTCAGAAAGATAAAAATATTGGCATAAATAGGTACCTAAATAGGTTCTAATCACATTAAATAGTTTACAGTTCCGGCACCTCCTTTTTTACAATTCAAGCACTGACGACGACCGTGTGTTAAAATAATTTATGTAAATGAAAATACTGTTTCGAAACTTGTCGCCCGAGACTATAATAGGATTGATGACATAAGGTACTTAAACCTATTTTATATTGTCATAAATCAATCCTGGAGGCAATGCTGGATACAATATATTCAATAGAACGTCGATAATTCGTCTAGATTTGTCTCTAGCAAGAAATACTGTCTTCTAAAACAAATTAATGACTTGGATAAAAAAATTAAAATAAAAAAACTAAACAAAGCCTTTCACATATTTTTTTAAACGCTGAAATAACTTATGTAGTCTCTGATGTTTAAACTGTTTACTGTACACATGTTCCTTTCAACTAAGTACAATAGGCTACAGTGCTTGATCATAAAACATGTTTGAAATTCATCGCTCTCTTAGACTTTGTACAGTACCTAGAAAATATACAATTTTAACAAGTTTTTTTAAGTAGTACAGCACGTATTTACTGACCTTTTTTTAAGGTAATTTTGATAATCTGAATGGGGTCCTAGTAAATCTGCATTATTGACGTTCTATTGTAGTTATTGTGAAACATATTTTGGCTAACATTAGCTGTAATTGTTGACACAAGGTGAACAGTATAACTAACACACAGTTTGGTTTATTAACCTCTTGCATTTGTTGAATTTCCTCTTATTGAAGCAGCCTTCTTGTAACATTTTTTATGTTGTAACACCATGGTGTGTGGAATGCCACAATGTAAAGTGTAAAGAGTGTATAATACATTGTAATAGATGTGTATAAAGAGTGTAATAGATGAACATGCCACACTCCCTGAAGAAGACACAATCTGGGTCAAAACATAGAGACTAAAATAAGAATAGAAAAACCGCTACGAAAAAGGTAACTCAGTGTTTGCATGTTCAAAATCTGTACAGTTGACAATAATCAATGTGCCGTTTGATGTTTCATTTCTCAACCAGTGATGTGTTGTTCGCAGGGAGTTCCTCGACATTGAACTGTCACTGCCCCAAGACAAGGTGAGAGAGATCGTGGATACTGCAGTGGTCCACGTCAACGCCTCCGTTCTGGAGCTCAGGAGACTTTTCCTCGTGGAGGACCTTATCGACTCTATCAAGTTTGGAGTATGTCTGTGGTGTTTGACATACGTCGGCGCCATTTTCAACGGAATGACCTTAGTAATCCTCGGTGAGTCTGTTTTTACTTACATACTGCTTACTATGGCCACTTGTACCCAAGCTGGTACTTGGCCTTGCCAAAACGTTGTCGGCAGTTCTCTCGGTCCTCCGAATCTTCTTCTACTTATCTAATGTTTCCATATCCTTTTGGACTTGATCCCACCACCTAGCTTTTTGTCTTCCTACTGGTCTCCTTCCCCTCGGATCTCCCCTTAGTACCTTCTTCAACAAGCTTTCCTCATTTCTCCTCAAGATATGGCCAACCCACCTTAGCCTTAAAATGCTTTTGGCCTCTCCTACAATATCGGGGTTTCGGAACGATTCACTTAACTCTTGGTAGTAGCGGATTCTCCATATTCCATCTTCACATACTGGACCATATATAGCTCTTAGAACTTTATTCTCTAAGTTTGTAATCTTTTCGGTGTTTTCGCTCAGGATTCAATTTTCCCCTACATATAAAAGAACTGGTCTAATTATTGTTTTGTAGATTCTAATTTTTGTTTTCCTTGATAACAACTTAGATTTAATTAGTTTTCCACATGCATACCAACTTTTATTTGCTGCATTTATCCTATTCTGAATTGAATTTCTATATCTTCTGTATTTCTATCAGATAGTACAACGCCTAGATATCTGAAATTATTAACTCTTTGGGATTCGTGGTTGTTTATTTTGAAAAAAAATAGCATTATTTCCATCTTCTTCCCTTGCTACTCTCATAAATTTTGTTTTCACGTCATTTATCTTTAGTCTTACACATTCAGTTTCATTAATTAATATCTCTGTGAAATCTTAATAAGATATTAACATATTAAGATCATCTTCCTTTTTTGTCATCAGTACTATGTGATCCACAAAAGCCAATATATTAATATTTGTCCCCAGTTTTAGTACTAAGGGTGAATTTTTTACTGCTTGTAGGGCTTCCTTTGGAGCAATATTGAACAGGAGAGGGGATAGTCCATACGGTTTTTAGAGAAATGTTTTTAAGATAGAGTCAGTGGATGTTAGATATTTTACAGATACCTACTTAAAAGCTGGGTTTTCCTAGGGGCGGAAGCGGAGTGCGGAGAGTGGACTCCTCTTGTCTTAGGCAATTTAATATTACTGTTTTCCTAGAAGCAGAGCAGAATGCCATGATAATCGGTTTTCCACTCTCCGCCCTCCGCGCTCCTTTTCCCCGTCTAGGAAAACCCGGATTAAATAAATAAGGAACTGGAAGGTCAATTGACCATGCGACATGCATACCCAAAATCAACCAATCATAGCACTGCATTTGGGCTGTAATGCTAAAGCTTATCAGCCAAGTAAGCTCCTCACCCTGACAAAATAATATAAGAATGAGAATGAATAGTAGGCCTAATTTCTTTGAACATACAAAAACATAATTTTCTTAAAAAATAAACACTTACAGAAATATGAACCGCGTACAATAACAAGCCTTTTACTCTCCCAGAGTACCAGGTACTCTAACATATAAAACCATAATTTGTTGTGAACAATAAAAACTAAATTAAATTTTAATTCTGGCCCTGATATTATTAATATAAATATTGTGTAAAACTTATCTGCTCGGGTTATTTGACGTGGGGAGTAAGATTCCGGGTTGTACCTAGAGTTTCCTGAAACATTATTTATGGGCTGGAATGTTTGATCCTGACATTTATTGCTGGTTAATATTGTGACAATTTGTCTATTTACATTAGATCAAGCAGAGTAGTTCCACTGTCCCATTGCCACAACTTTGTATTTTACATTTTATGAATTCATAAAATATTTTTAATGGTGTTTAACATGTGATAGATTATATCATGGGACCAGAAGCTTTATTATCAGGCTAACCTACTGTGGAAGTAAAAGAGTTCACAAAATATAGAAGGTTTAATTCATTTAGTACATTGAACCAATAGCCTATGGCACCTCTTGTCGATTTCCAAATTGGAAAGATGCCAAGTTATTATTAGCCAAACGCAGCCCCTCTAGGTCATAAAATGAATATTCCTATACTGTAATATGGAAATCTCCACTAAGAAAAACACCAAGTATTCCTTAGAAATGTTTCATATTTTTGTTGACTCTAAAGTAAAAATTTGCACAAGTATACTAACAGGGTGTCCACATTCTGGAAAGTCAGGGATAGTCATGGAAATAGGCAAAAAGTCATAGAAAGTCATGGAAATCCCCAATGATGGATGGATTTCAGGGGACCTTTCAATGCTCTAGTCGGCCGTAACCGTGACTATCGTAGCATTTTTCCGAATTTTTCACAAATGTACGACAATTTCAATTTATACAGTTGTCTTAGTTTATGGGTTTTGAGTTTGTATTAGTTCATTGTTGTACCTATTGTACTCCGTTGTTATATTTTCTGTGGAATAACTTGTCTAGGCAGTATTATTTGTGTGTGTACGGTATATTATAATTTTTGAGTTAAGTTCGTGAGTCATGGAAATCAATGGTTAATGGTCATGGATAGTCATGGAAAGTCAGAGAAATTGATGACAATTTATCTGTGGACACCCTGACTAAAGTAAAATATGATTTGTAACTAAATATTGATGAAGTATACAGTCTTTTAGTATAGTACGCATTGCTAATTGACTTGTATTTTGCAGCGTTCGTGGCCCTGTTTACAGTGCCGAAGATTTACGAAAACAACAAAGCCAGTATCGACCAATACATTGATATGGGACGAAGCAAGGTTGCAGAAATCACATCAAAGTAAGTAATTAACATTACTTTCTTGCAGTCTTCACAAGTCTTTAAGTTACTGAAAGTACATAAAAATATGTCTGATAACACTTGAAACATATATTTACACTAATACTGTTGACTCAAAAGATGGTAAATACATATAATACCCCCGCCGCAGCAAACCTACAGACTAAGTGAATTTCCATTTGCCTGATAGGAATTTCAATTAAATCTATTTGGTTCAACGAGTACCTAGGTTTGTTGCTACAGGTAAGGTAATAAAGTATTTTTTTTTTTTTTATAACAAAAGCTTAGTATAAAATAAGTTAAATAAATTTGCCTATCTTAATCAAAATATGTCCATAAACTAGCAAACTACAATATCATACTATCCTTATATATAATTCTGTAAGACCAAATTTTTACCAGAAAATTGTGGACGTCTGGTAAGTCGCAGAAAAGTGGGAGGGGTCTTAAATTAAAGGTCTTGACCCCAGGGACTCGGGAAAAATAGCAGAATTCCCATAAAGTTGCCAGAAAACGAGATATAACGTATAATGTTTTCCATAAGAATAGCATTAGAAGCAATTTTACTGCTGATTTTTGTTTACTTCAATACAGCTGATCGTGATTTATCAATTATCATCAAGCCAGTAAGGAATTTTAACATTTGGATTACTTAATTGCCAGTCAATTCTGCAACGTACTATATAAAACCAGGGATAACGTTACCTGTAAAAATTAAGACTTTTTAGTTACGTTATGGAATGGGGAAATAAATAATTTTACTGTGAAACTTTTCAAATTTGTGTATTTTTAACGTTTAACATTAAATAACCACATTGACTAAATAATTAACGATTCAAGATTAAATGGAACACTTCTGCTTTGTTTTTATTTCAAAACATATGTTCTAGATTTATTCTACACTTTCTTTCTTTTAAATTTGAGATTTATTGTAGTGTTTAATCAATACTTTGTATGAAGTGGAATGAATAACCTCAATGGCTTTAGAAAATAACCTAGAAATAAAGATGGAATAGGTTCGTACGGGAAATATATATTTGTTAATTAAGTAAGTACTATGACAAGTTCGAATGGGAGGAAAAACAATATGCTTGGAGATTTTAAACAGGTACTGTCTGTTGCTCGCAAAAGAGTTAAGAATCAGCCAATGATTAGGCTTAATTTGATAGAATACAGTATGTAACGTCAATCGCACCTTTAAGAGGAATACCACCACATAAACTTTCACGAATTGTAGTTTTTTTATGTCGATCAGAATAAATCTAGGGTTAAGTTTGGTCAATGGGATGCCTTTACTTTACACTAATAAACCCAAACAAAAGAAGTATAAACTTAGAATTATTAACTGGGTAGGGATGCTAATTTAGCGGGTGTGGCAAAGAACTAAGCTTACCTCAAAACACCTTTATTTGCCTTTTCTTATTTGACGAAGACAATTTCCTAAGTTCCAATCAGGGAGGTCTTTTTTATGACAATCAACCACAAGACCAAAGCTACTTTAATAAACCATCATTTATTCAAAAACAATTATATGTTTGCTGTCTTTATCAGACGTAAAAGCTATGTATTTATTCAAATGATTTATTGAAAATAACATCATCAAAGGCAAACAAAGACAAACAACAAACTGTTTTCTACACAAAAGATATGGCGTACAGGGATATCTATTCTGACACAGTGATAATATATTTCTTTGTTTGTTTAAATTTTGGAATAAATTGTTTTATATTATTGAGCTTTTTAGGGACTTATGTCCCTACAAGCCACTAGTAATATTATAAATGTGAAAGTTTGTGTGTGTGTGTGTTTGTGTGTGTTGTGTGTGTTGTGTGTGTTTATTTGTTTGTTTGTTTGTTTGAAGTTCAATCACGCATTAACTACTGGTCGGATTGTGTTGAAATTTGGTATGATGATAGCTCACATTCCCGATTAACATATAGACATATTCTTACCTCAAAAATCCTTTCGGACTCCGCCCCAGGGGCTCTAGAGTTTCCCATGTTAACCTTACGAGTATTCATATTTAAAAGGAATTAAATAATTTTGCCAGCTGTTTCAACTATACAATTTGTTTCTATGATATTCAATAGCATTAAAAGGTTATACGGTTTATCAATAGGGTGCAGCACCATTAGTTCTTTATACATTTATGACAACAGCTAATTTGAACCAAGCAGCAACAAAAACCTGAGTGTGAGAACTTTACTTCTTTCTATTGTTTAAATGAAGTGGTAGAACATTATGGCTATGGTAGATGTTCTATCTACGATAGTATACCGTAGGTTATAGTAAACAAAATTTTCTCAAAACGTGTCCTCTCTCATTGCAAATGCTAAGCACGAGTATTTAACAACAAAAAGCATTGTATACCAACCCCGTACGAAGGACGGGTAGGTACTCAGCTAGTTTTACCATATTCTCCATAAGAATGACATGGGAATTTCAAATTTAAAAAATTTTGAAACTTCTCCGTAACCAATAACCATACAAAATACTTTGATATACTAAACCATTTGGTTTTTTAAGCTCTTTAAAATGGTCTAGAAAGGAATCAGAAAATATTGTGTTTGGGGGTCAAAAATCAGAAAAACCAATTTTTACCCCAAAAAAACCCGTTCCCATAGTCAGATCATGCTGGTTCACGAATTCTTCAAGTTTATCCTGCCTTACACTTTCAAATCAAATTTCATCGAAATGGTACAAAAATTACTCAAGTTATCGCGTTTACGGACACATAAAAAAACTTGTAACTCTCTTGTATCTCACGTATATATAGCGTTATTGCTTAGTTTAACACAAACACATTTCACCGCAGGAACATGGGTCTGTGGTGCCTAGTTTACCAACTGTCTGTATTTATGAGTTTTTTACAACAAAATTGATAATTCCTAAACAATTTGAGATACAGCGTTGAGATTTTGCAAAAATGATCTTAATGGTCTTTACTATTTAAAAAATCTTATAAAGACCTATTTTTATTTATAATTATAGTAAAAATCATAAACCGTTTCAAAATGGCGGCCATTTAAAATATTTGATGCTAAATTTCACAAAAACCGTTAACTTAACAAAAAAATTGCAAGAGACAAAAAAGGTAGTAAATTTTATGCTATTTTCAATGATGTTATTTGTAAAGAATGGATAAATAATAAAAGAGAAATGTGTTATTTCCGTAATGCATGACCACTTTTATCTAGCCTATTTAAACAATGCTAATACTCCTTTTACATTGTCTAAATATCTTTACAAACATCTTATATACGTCAATCAGGAGTTTCAAAACAACTTAGCTGATTGAATCATTTGTTTTTGTTATTTATAAAAGTATTGTTGTCTGAACACCGAATGACTTAATGGTTAGGACATAGCCTGATCGGATAGTGTTCTGCATATAATCTTGCCTCTCCTCTTGCACTGCCACGAGCCATTCCAAAAAAGTACACCATATCACAGTACTCCTAACTTAATAAGGTAAAAACACAACAAATAATGACTTTAACTAGGTTGTAAGAATCGTAAACAACTAGTAAAGACTTGCAGTAATGTTCTTGCTCTAACAACAGCAATATTCTTCAGGGTAGTGTTCAGCAGTTATGCAATCATGCAAAACCTGATATCAGCATGTTCAGCCAGGATTAAGGTTGAAGATGAGTGCATCTTGTGTACATTAGTTTCTCAAGTAGCAAATGCTCAAAAGAAATAATATAGAGATTCTGTGATCTCTGATTTTTCACTGACTTCAAATTTTATCTTTTAAAAATTGTTGGCTCTCGACCATCTGTCATTCGGTATATTTTTATTTAACCAGGTATTTACTTTGAGACCAGTATACTATGTCAAATCAAGGATGATGTTATATATATAATACCAACATGCTGCAACCAAATTGCTGCTTCTAGCTTCTCCATGATAATTACGCGAGGCATTTGTCCTCACATATTTCTAGGTTGTAATGTTAGTTAGGACAAAGCCAAAATGGTTTATGTTGCAGGCCTTGATAGGTTGACACAGGATTTTTCTACTAAATGTCCTTTAACATAATTTATGTTTCTCTAAACATCTAAGAAGGAAATGATATTTTTCAGAGTGAAAGCTGCAGTTCCGATCGGCAAGAAAGAGCCAGAGAAAGACAAGGAGCAGTAGAATCAGTAACACATGACATGAGAGTGTAAAGCTCGGAGGAACTGCCTTGCACTATCGTCTAGTGCCTGGCAGTCACTCAGTCACTAAATTGTATCGTCCTATATGTCATTTTTTATCGTTTTCATTTTTAATTGTTCGTTATTTTATTATTAAAATATGTTTTGTTCTCATTTCGCTACCAGTCATTATCTAGGCCTATTTAATTTTGCATTCATCCCTTAACGAGCAATATTAACAAGATAGTTCGATTCAGTCTTGAGTTTCAGAACAGGGTGAAATCATTTTGTATTTTTAATGATTGTTGTTCCTGGAATTGGGAAGCGTTAATGTTGTTTTAAAATGAGCTATATATTTTGCAATATTTTTACTTTTTATAGATATAGTCATCGGCTCCTTTTGAAATATATATATAACTGTTCTTGTGCGACTGAAATCTTAATCGCTTCGAAAGCTTTGAATTGAAGAGGGAGAGTTTTGTACAAAATGTTACTTAAAATGTTTAATCGGTTGTGTTGCATGCTACAGACTCTATCCGTGTTGATTCGCCTGTTATTGCAACGTTTGATTTACTGCCCTCGTTATTTTGACGTTGCTTGTTTTCCGCTAGTTTATTGTCGTTGTCACGTGAATATCGTTTTGATATCGGTCGAATGATAAAAAAAAGACTATTTTTCAAGTTTAAGGTTATACACGTACGTTATCTTCTTGTGTATAGTAAAACAATGTTGAAATATATATCTTATTTATTATATGTAGTTATACGCTGTCAAGAAAGAATTTAGTGTTAAGATTTAAAATATACAATTTTATAAATATTCTACAAAAGGTTCGACTTATTCTGACTGAGAAAACGCACTATAAGTTTTTTAAGATTTTTTCCAAGAGTGTGAGGTTTTTAAGCCAATCATAAGAGTGAATGCATTTTTGTTTCTCCTCGTGTTGGCGGAGGCTTGACGGTGCAACGCCTGATGAGTGCTTCTCACGTTCAGATCTTGTAAAGTTTATTTATTTCTAAATGTACTGCTGGTGGGTAGACTAAGTGTAGGACCCTGTAGGTTAAGTTTCTGTTATGTGCTTTGTACACTAAATACAGAAATTAAAAACTACTAATGTTTTCATTTTCACCCTTGTATATTGTCATTGAGTAGGAGTAATATAGAGAATATTTTCTCATCAGGGTAGTGAAGAGGTGATATTTTATAAGAAGGCAAGTTTTATAGATCCTCGAGCATCAAACCAAACCCTTCACAAAGTCTGACCTGCTGTGTTATGCCAAAATTAACTGTTTGCTTTGTGATTTAATATTAAACTAGATATATATAGAGATACTGAATATGTCTTTTGAGAAAGGCTGAGCTTTAATGCCATAGAGAAATTAAGATGAGCCTGACTTACACCCTCACTTTCATAATTTTAAATAAAAAATTGGCAGGGATTTATTTTTCAGTTTTGTAAATTAATATAAAATGGTCTGACTAGCTTTTCAGTTAGCTAAACCAATGAATGCATGGAGACATAAAATTGTGTTTGAAGAGATAAAATTACAGGTTTTCTGGTCATCAGTGTTACAAAAATGTTTTGTTGTAAGTACAAAGTAAATGAAGTGTGATGGTGCTTAGAAGAGGTCCCAAGTCAAAAATATAAGGTCCACCAATGGAGACTATTTTGTATGAAACAATAAGATTAAATTCAATAAGATTCAATAACACTAACAAAAAGCTGGAAACTCATAGACCTAAATGTATTGAGGTTAACCATATACTGAAAAAGATTGCTCCACGATATAAACAACACTTGCTTAATTTGATAAGTTATGCTTGCCGTTGAGTACTGAGAAGGTGCAAAGTTAAATGGTTGATTAAATTATAAGATCTGAGATGCAACAACCCAGTAATCTCAAAGTGAGGGAACAACAACTCTACATTACCATTCCTTGTTATACCCGTGTACAATGCTAAATAGGTTTTACACCCTCACATTTCCAAGCAGATTTTTCTTTTGCTCTAACACTGTTTTTATATGTAGTTATTTTTAATTTGAATTACAGTACAACAATGATAATTCGGACGTCAAAAATCTGGACTGTTAATAACCCAGATTTGTCCCTAGCAAGAAATCAAACCTTCTTTTAAAACAAATTCAGAACCTATAAAAAGACGAACCACTGCCACAGTTCAAAAGCTTATCACTCAATGTTTTAAAAGCTCAAATATGTAGTTCACAGTACACATGTTGCTATAGGTGAAATACAATACTGAATACAGTGCTTGAACATAAAATATGTTTTGAATACATTATCTTTTAGGCACTTTCTTTACCTAGAAAATATAAAATTTTACAAAGTTGTCTACTCAAATAGTGTGTGTGCTGTACCTTAGGTAATTTAGATGATTCAGATAATTTGATAATCGGGATGGGGTCCCAATTATTGACGTTTTAGTGTATTTCATCCAATGCCAATACCATACTAAATGGTGTTTCTTGGATATCAGTAGTAAAAAATACATGTTATTCCGTCTAAAAATATTCTATTATCTTTCTATAAATTCCTTATAAAAATGTTTATTTATTTCTCATTGCAACACTTTTATTTCTTTAACTTGTCGTTTGTAAATACATTTTAGTTAATTCGCTTACAACCAAAACTGATATGATCTCACATAAAAAATGTAGTAAAAAGGGGATTGTAACTAATAGGAAACTATACAACCTGTACATTAGTACAGTTCGGCCAAAACTTCTGTGCGCGTGGATGGGTCGCTACTAGCCAAACTAAAACATACGGGTACCGGCTATTGGCAGTCGTCTGGTTGGTAGTGTTTGCTTGCGCAATAAGTTTTTTAGTTCCCTTTGTACTTTTTGTTGAAACTGTTTGTGAAATGAAATGAACAATGTATTGTCTTTGGAATAAAAAAAAAATATTGACAATGTCATAAAACAGCTAAAATTATAGCCTAGTCAGTGTGATTGATAACTGTTCCGCATGTTGTGTGGAACCGTGGCCGAAACTCAATTTGTTGTATTGTGATGGAAACTAACTTTTAATACAAGTCCCTTTCAATCGCACAAAAAAGTTATCGCAACAGTAGAAAGTGGTAGAGTTAAGTCAGGAGCTTGTGAAAGCTTTTCAAATCCCTCCAAGAAAGTTGTCAACGATTTAAAAAATAAGGTCACAATTGTTAGAGTGAATGCCGTTACAGGAAGAAAAAAACCACTAACGGGGAATATTCTTAACTAGAAGAATGTTAAGTTATGTGGTTGAGGCAATGTAGAAATTAAAACGTGACTGTAGGTTTAATAAAAAAAAATCCAAAACATACTATTTTAGTATACGTACCTCGCATTATACATGAAAAAATTAACTTTTTATAATTCGAATGGTTTATTTTTCTTCTGATATTTCAATTTTCTTTTAATTTGAAACTCTTTATAATTCAAATTACTTTGCCTGGCCCACCTATTTTGAACAATCAAGAGTATACTATAGTGATGGGCGATATGGGTCAATGTATCGATACTGCGTATCGATGGTGGGTATCGGAACGTGGTGTATCGATACATGTATCGTATCGTATCCTCATGTATCGATTTTTATCTGTATCGGATAAAATATCGTATCGTATTGTTTATTTGTAATTTTTTTAAAATTTAAATATCTCAAATATACAGGCTGTATAGACAAATACCATGTTACTTACAAGCTTGTAAAGAGGGTTAGTGCTTGTAATCTTACCTTAGAAAAGTCGTTTCCTTCCTGTGTCTTTTTATTTGTATCAAACATGCATACATAACCTCCAAATTCTGCTAAACCCTCAAAATTGGAAAACATTTTGTTATTGTTTTCCTAGTTTTTACACAAGGATAATTAATTGAACCAAAAAGTACTAATAATGATGGTGGGTATGCCACTTACTCATTAAATAGTATAATATGGATAGTGAGGGTCCCCACTTCCATTAATGGTGGCCTTAGTTTTGAGGTTATTTGCAAAACAGCTGAAAATACACGTTTTACCAGTGTTTTTGAAGATGCTAGGGTAAAATATCAAATTTTCACTACTGCTTTTGAGGGGAGGAAGATGGGAAGACAAATTTCTTACCATAAAAATAAGATTTATATTAATAAATAAACAATACGATATCGGCTATAGGTGCATCGATATGGGCATATCGATACACTTCCACGTATCGATACTAAATATCGATATTTTATTTTGCGGTCCTTGTATCGATATTTGTATCAATACGTATCGATACGCACATCACTAGTATACTATGTTTCCATTCTGACATTAGCCAAGGAACCAAGAAATAAGGATTCAATTTCTAAATAATAGTTTTATTCTGTTTAACAATATATTGAATCTTTGGCTTGATGTAGCAACTAACATAGTGGAGGCACTTGAAACAACCTTTTTAGTAAATAGTTAAAACGGTGCAGTACAAAAAATATCAATACTACATACAAACATTAAATTATAATGATTAGCAAAACAATATCTACATTATTACGTTTTACAAAACATGGACCATAAAAAATGATAAGGTAGTAAACAATAGTAAAGTATAGTCTTATTACAGGATGGTACACTTTACAACTTTAAAATATAATTTCATACTCTACCGATGGATAATAAAAAAATACTAATACAGTAGCGTATCCTAAATATGGTATTCTATTTTTCCAAGATATAATTTACTTACCAATAATTCATATATTTTACAATGTGAAAGTATATTCTACCAATAACATTTTTTGTAATAATGACTCCAATTTATTTAAACTGACCATCTCCAATCAAATGTGTCATATCGAAGATGACTTGGAATTATAATGATTAGCAAAACAAAATTCCTACATTATTAGGGTTTAAAAAATCAGACAAAAAAATCATAAAAAGTGAATGATACACCATAAAATCCCCAGTAACTGTACTTCTCTATGGCCATACTTCAAAGACATTTAAATAAGGTAGATATTTTTTTCGATTAGTACTCATAGCTTATCTATTTTTCCTTGTAATTATCTGCTATACATTTTTGAATCAATTAACTTTAAAAGACAATAATTAATATTGAACATAGTTTTCAATATTTAAACTCTATATTTGTTATTTATAGATCTTGTTATATAATTATTATTTATCGTTTGTTAGAATAATTGAATTGCTAGATTGACAAAGTTTTTGTTTATTATCACAGGACAGGACGATCCTCGATTATTTCCTTGACGATTTACAATTACTGATTTACTACGTAAAGAATCACATTGTCATTATGTTGTTATCATTCAATATTTTCCTACAAGGAGAACTGATCTGTTTACCAGTATTAGCTGTTTTAACAACATAACTTAGAAGTTTCTGGAGGCAATCCTAATTTGTATTTAACAATTAGAATTAACATTCACTTATTTATTATTACTCCTCAAGAACCCGTAGGAATTAACACTTAACATTTAATAACAGAAAATTAAGGTCTGCTTGTTTACTGTGTTGCCATTGAGTAAATGTTAAATTAAGTAAAACTGTAAAACTATTGAAAAGACATCTCATTAAATAATTTATTACTTACTTTTATTTTAACCAGCCACAGATATTCGTTTTTCTAAAAAAATCTCAAAAGTTATCACCGGTAACATAATGGATTAACAAAACTTTAGCTACTGGTACATACATATAATGATGATCATTAAAAGAAGTTATCGTTGCTTTCAATGTATTTCAAAAAATTGTATTACAAAAGTACTATTCCATAATATATTTAGGATTTATATTATTTTATGGCACTTTACACTGTTTGAATACCAAAATCAGTCTAACCGAGTAAAAAAAAACCAGTTGACAAACAATATAATACATTTTATAGATAATAATATTTACAATACCTAGCAAAGCCAACAAAATTCTTGATAACACCTTACACACCATATACAAAAAAAAAAACACAAATAATATATTTCATCTAAATAAATATATATTTATATATAATAATACAGTTTTAGGATAAATGAGAGAGAGCACCTATAAAAAGGCACTGGAAATGTTGACAAAAATGGGCAATGGCATAAAATTTCAGTATTGCATTGCAAACTTTCTATTTTTAACTTGTATACAGACCACAAACCTACAATATTAAAGTCATAAGATGAAGTGATACATTTTCACTGTAAAGACAGGGAATTTTACCCATACTAAAGTAAAAAAAAAGTATTATCCTAATTCATTATAAATGTTGCATGTTTGACAAAATCTGATAACTTAACCTCATTAAACAGTTATAAAATGAAATTATCACTGTCACAGAGCATTTGTATACTTGAGTCAAAATATTTTGCAAGGACAAAAATACATTTTATAAGTGTTTTATTACATTGTATGTATTAGCTACTTATAACATAGACACATATCAACCGCTTTCTCTGAGTACACAATAATTTAATCAAAGTTTTCCAAATACACTGAACTTATCCTTAATGATGAGATTTGTCTATTTTGTTACAAAGTTCTATATATAACTTGTTAAACATGAACTATTTTACTTAAAATACAAAGGCATTGTACTACAACTAGTCATGGACAAAATCACAACAAATCACATTCAAAAGGTGTCTTTTACGTAAATCTAGTGCATTGGAACTATGTCACCACTTGGCCATCAAAAAGGATGGCCAATACATCAATTTGTGTCAACCGAACACAATTTTAAAGAAAAGTAACAGGATTTTACTATATTATGCTGACTAAAACCATAGACTAACCAACAAAAGTAGGCTTCTCATCTTATTGTAAAATCTGCAGCTTGTTTTTCATGTCTAGTTCATGTTGATGACACTGAGCAGTGAGCGCTAGTGTCGACAAAAGTTTCTTTCTATTCTATTATTTTAGGGTTGATTTAAAAAGTTTGCTTTACATTTGGGTATATAGCCAGGAGACAAACTAATGTTTATGATTAGATAGTTTTACTTGGTTAAATACGGTTGTAAATAACATAACAAGAAACAAATACACATGGTTAGGCACTGGTCGGAACTAACAAGTGACTTCAGCTGATCCATAAGGATGACAAACCTACTATAAATAGTTTGTTTGCAAAATGTAGGCAGTTTGAGAGGGAGCTCCCGTGTTTTTTATTTCTTAAAATACATGAAACTGATTGACGTATTTTTGCAAACCTCAGCTGTCCAGCTATTGTTTTAAAGGTACGATCAAGTAGAGGGAATAGATTTCTTACCCTAAAACCGCTTAAATTTTGGGAATGGAGTATAAAGGAGTCTAATCAAAGCTAAAACTAAAATAACAGTACAGTATAATAACATTAAACATTGCATATTTGCATTATGGTCGGCAGATAACAGAATAATACACATTTAATTCAAGAGTAGGCTATCACAAAACCTAAGAACACACAAGTAATTTAGACCAAATGTTTTTTATTACTATTATTTCCTAATATTGCCTCAAACTATGCCCATTAGAGAAACATACATGTGTTTCATAGGTAAAAAAAAAAAAACAACAAAAACTAAACATTCTGTCAAGAAGACTTTGGATTAAACCTTTGACTATTAATACAACCTCAGTATCCAATAGTCAATGATTATACCATATTGATCCGTTACAATTGTTTATACAAGATATGTAAAATCACCACTTACTGAATATTAAATAAGTTGTGAAATTGATTGATTATCTAATACTGATGTATCGGAAGAAATTTGTCAAAGTTGGTGCCAGTACCGGTCCTTGACAAAAATCGATTCTTGGGTCTTAGTACCAAACCATAGTTACTCTCCTAAATAGTACTCACTCTCCAGAAGTAAGTTTTTAACATTTTTATATGACTTGTTCATGTTTAAAAAAAGTATTGGCTGTTTGCACAGCCCTATCATTTTGTGATTTATAGTTTTATTTGTAATTTCAAGCTAAGAATTGAATCTGGCTTTCAGGGACGAAATAACGTATCTGCAACCCCCCCCCCCCCACCCCAGGCAGTCGCTGTTCCTGACCAACATACCACAGTTTGATGCTGCAGCCTGTAACCATATACGTAAGGCTGTGCCCACCAATAGCCTTGTGTCCTGCTGGTATTGCTTAAATTTTTACTTCAGTATTCTTTCATAACCGGTACTGGTACTGTCCACAAAAAAACCGGTAGAGAATTTCCCTTAGGTACCGACACATCCCCAATAGACAAGGATACAACCGCCAAACATTCAAGGAAACGAGATGCGAGACAGAATAATTATTTTAAAAGTTAATACTCAATAATAGTAGGCCTATAGAATGATGTCCAAATATGTTTTGTTCCAACTTGCATACTCCAGTCAGGTGAGTATGCTCTTTGCATAGTTTCTTAAAAAGTACTTGCTAGTTTATACAACACACGCCATGTTGAGCCGTGGCTGCTATACAGTGCTGCCAAGTATAGACTGGTCTACAAACATGTTCTGTTCCTCTAACTTGAGTACTTGCGCTGTAAGATGAGCGTTCTCCTTGTACAGGTCCTTCACAAGCACATCTGCTGCTGACAGCCTCTCCATCTGTTTACAGACCACAAGTTTACTAAATTGCACTTTCTACTCAACTAATACACAGATTAGTAAAAATCTATTTATATACTACCGTTTTTTAAGCGAGCCTTTTTAATTACAATTTTAAACAAAGATTCACTTTACCACATTGTTTATCCACTTTACAGCACTAGTGCGTGGTAAAATTACAAACCAATAGGGTTCAAGGATTGAGAATTAAGAAGTAAAATTGTAATGCTTTGAACACCAACTAACCAGCTGATATCGACCAAATCAATTGTTGATCAGCTGACTTCTGCAAGAAAAACACACACACTTTCCTGGACCTCTAAACCATTTGCCAATCAACTTTTGCTGGAACGTTTATTGAAAGACTTTGAAAATGTCAGGTGGTTCTAACATAATAAAAAAAATGGTTGTAGGTAAAATAATATAAGAATCTTTCGTAGTAAGCCGTTACATCACTTGTAGAAATTTTTACTTAAATTAAATTTCTACTTGTGTGGTTGGTAAAAACTATCTTTACACGATTTAATACTTAACTTTGCATAAACTACTACTGTACACAAGCTAATGAAGTGTGTGAACCTAGTCTTCCAGGGTGTTTTTTATTATATTATTCTACTGTAAACTGTGCAGGATGTCGACTTACCTGTTGTTTGCACAATTTTGTCTGATGAATTAGTTTCTCTTGTGTTGTATGGAGTGTTTTCTGAATAGAGCTGAGGTCCAATCTATGCTGGTCCCACGCATCTGCAATAAGCCATAAGCAAGATGAGTAAACTGGTGTGTACAAAATTTGTTTAGAAAGAAAACGGTTGTTTTCCATTTGTGGTGATCATTGTACCTGTCATTCATACTGACTCTTTTTGACACTTGACTGCCTGACCATTATTTTTTCTAAAAATAGGCTTAAGGAAAGTAATCAGTTGGCAGAGGTGACTTCAGTCAAACCTTGAAATGTTATTGCTCAAAAAGGTAAAATCCTTGCCTCAGACCTTTAGAAGGCAGCTGTCTATCGGTCAATTTTACTGACTGTATTGACCAATGCCTTACGAAATTCTTCCTGAAACCTACCTTTATTCTTTCATAAAAAACCTCTTTTTCCAAAACTTACGATTTTTAAATCTAGCTTTTATTTTAAATACACTGTACAATTTTCCTCTCAATTAAGTAATACATCTACAGTTTCAGCTGCTTATTCGCATTAAACAGTTTAGACAATCTAGACAATATTTTCATCTAATAAATGGGTGTAACCACAGAAGCTACATACTCTGTAACAGCTTATCTGTCTCGCGTTGGTGATGTTTAAGTGCTGACTGTAGATGGCGACAACGAAGTTCCTGATGGCGCAGTCGAGAACTGAGGTTGTGAAACATCTCCACGTCTGATGCCAGCCGGCGATCCCCCTGACAGACAAAGTTAATTAACTATATTAGTATTTGATAATACATCTAGAAACACGTAAATTCAAGGTGTTTAAGAGTTACTGTCATAGTTAATATGGTCAGTTGTATACCATGTTATACAAAAGGAAAAGATTGCTGTATAACAGGTTCATTTTCTGTTCACCTTGATTAACACAACTTTTAAAACCAACAATGGAATGAGCATATTAAATGTTTATAACGTTATTTTGATTTGATTATGCTTAGTCTTTTTTACTTGATTAACTGTGACAGACTTCTTTATTATAAAACAAGTAGGCCTAAGGTGTTTTGTGAGTCAGAGATTGAACAAACAGCTGTTGTAACTGTAAAAAAAAAACTTCCGAAAAAAATTCAAAAAGGATACTTGTTGTCTTATTTGCATCCGTTGGATGAAAAAATCACACAAGGACTCCAGTTTAAAGTAACTCTTACTTTCAAAACATGTATTATTTAAGAAATTATTCACCAACAAAATAAATATATCTTACCATGGATGGAGTGTATATCAGGTTGGTACGCTGCAACTGAGTCATCTGGTGAAGTAGAATCTCCCGTCGTCTGTGGAGCATCTCACACTCTGTCTGTAGTCGCGTGCGACACTCGCGCAGGCGCGACATGTGTTTACGCGACATCGCACCCGTGTGGCAAGGACAACAGCATTCTACACCTCCCGGCCCAGTCACCTCTATTGATGGGACGCTCAGCTGAAATAGCCAATCAGTTTAAGTTCAGCTGATAGTTAGTTATTAATGTAACATGAAGACAGTCCATCAGGAAGATGTGGATATTATGAAGTAAAAATTAATAATGTTACGAAAGTGGTGTAATGAACTAGTTTTACAAGGGTCTTAGAGGTTTAAGCAAAGTCCTCAGTATATTGGCATTAAATTTATCCATCAACTCCCAGATGGCATAAGGATGGAGCAAAACACAATTAAATTCAAAAAGAAACTGAAACAATTTTTAATAGGAAATTCTTTTTACAGTCTGAATGATTATTTTTAACTTTAAGTAATGTATTTATTTTATCTAAAAATTGCTGTTATATAAATCTTTTAACTTTATGTAATATATTTAAGTTATTTAAAAATAACATAATGACGCATTCATGTACGATACATCTGTACGTTCTGAATAAAGTTTTATTGATTGATTCTGATTGATTGATAATATTTAGTAAAACTTTTGATTCCTTATTGCTTCCGTTGGTCATGTATTTTAGCAATAAGACAATTATAAATTAGATTTATGTTTTTTATTCACACTGATCGTATTGTATACAATACCTTTGTATTTGAGTTTGATTTTGGTTCGTGGAGTCTGAATTCACAACTAGACAGAGCTACTTGTATACCGGTATCTTGAACATCTAAAAAAATCACACTGTATGAATGAAACAAGTATGGTTAAAATAAAACATTTTTACAACCACTCAATATATCAAAACAACTAAAACTGTATTGTAATTATTTGCTAGTTAGCAAGACATACATCTTTATATAAAGGCGGGCTTACAAGCTTTGATAAAACATAACGACTAATCGTTATGTTTTGTCGGAGGTTGGGCGGGCCATTTACACGTTCCGTCTTTTCCTCCAACTTTGGCTCAAACCACTTTGTTCGATTTCTTTATATTTGTTGATCAATTTTACATAGGCCAGGTCTTTTTCCCAAGACAAGAACAAGTCAGAATAATCTTTATTTTTTACTTCCCATAAGCAAGGGAAACTCTTGCACATTTCAATAAATTCCATGAGAAAATCATGAGAGGCTTGACGGATGTCTGACATTTTAAGTGACGAATAAATGTTACACTGACACAGAACAGTAAAACAACACTGCTAAAACTACACTACAACAGTCAAAATATACCATAAACAAATCTTTGAAAACATATTAAAATCGCTTAACATACAACATTAGCCTGCTCACCTTTTTGGTAATGTAGTTGATGCATTTCTTCTAACTGTGACTGTAACCTTTCAATAACCTCTGTTTTTTGTTGGGTTTCTTTTTGTGCAACTTTCTTGTATTCCTCAAACTCCTCTTCCAAGTCAGTTACCTTGTTTGGAAAACCAAACATAATGAGATGAAAGAAAGAACAGAAGAAGTCATATTTTATTGATAATGCCACCAATGGGTTAAAATTTGTTGATTTTTTATATGGCTGACATAATTTAAAAACTGAGATCACTGCATTAATATCAAAACCTTTTTATTAAACATTATTCATTAAGGACCTTACACTGTAATAAGGTCTAACTTTGAAATTACCAATGTATCTCTTGCGATGTCACTTAGGTGCTGCTCAAACAAAGCTGATAAGTTCTAAACTAAAGATAACTGCTGCCAATACCTGCTTCTCCAAGTTATCTTTCTCGTCTATGGTCGGGAGTCTGCCACTAAGTCTTCTTTCGTCCATTCCAAACAGTTCTGCGTATTCTTGAATCTTAGTTTCTAGCTCCACAAACTTCTCATCACTCACTTTTTGCTCCTGTAGTCATAAAAGGTAAATCAGAAATGAAGAATGACACTTGAGTTTTATATTGAAATATTTTACTAATCATCTTAAAAATTTATAACATTTTGTCTTGAATTTATGAATTGTATACTGTCAACGTTACATTCCATTAAAATGAAGTTACAATTATGAAATACCAAAATGAAAGAAAATAAAAGGTACTTAGGTATTATACAGAGGCCACTTATTTTACAGCGCGCTGTTATGTTAGGTTGGGTTATCATAAATAGAAAGTATGACTTATCTGGTATCGTTCGATTCATAACGAAATGAGGAAATTCCTACAAGCATATTTATGATAACCCAACCTAACATAACCGCCGCAGCGCGCTGTAAAATAAGTGGCCTCCGTATAATACCTAAGTACCAAATAAAATATAAATATTGTAATCTGTGAGATTATAAACGGAAAAACAAAGCTCCAACTATCAAACAAACCAAATAAATTATGTTCTTGTACTCTGCATGCCCATAAGACATCATATACATGCTACACTGTGACGATCCTCATTGACATATCCGCAAACCCAAAAAGTTAAAGAAATGTGAAATACAAATAAATGAAAATATTTTGTCAAGGAGGGACTGTAAGAATTATAGAAGTATAATACAGTAGATATTTTGCCAGTTCAAATGTACAAGACTTAGAAAATCAACAACAATTTAATTAACAATTAATTTATGCAATTTACTGGCAATGTATACCACACTAAATACTACTTGTTTGATAAAAACAGAAAATGTTTGGTTGGGTTTAAATAACAAATAATCTGCCATTGTATTAGACATATTAAAAATAATTCTGAGGTTTGGATTTTTTTTTGAAATTTTATTATACGAGTGTAACTTATATTTACCTGGTAAAATATGGTTCTCTCCTCATTTAGTTTCCCTTGCCAATAGTCTTCACATTTCTCATACTCCTCTCTCATCAGTTCTAGAGCATTTTCCAGTTCGGTACATTTCTCTTTCAACTCTGTGTTCTCCTTGGTCAGTCTCAATATTTCAGTCTTGTCATTATCTTTGGACTTGTCCATGTCACTTTCCTCATTACTGTTCTCATACGCCAGTTTACCTATTACACTACACTTCTCTTCACTAAGGCACGGGGATAAAGGCTTCACTTCAGACACCGCAAGAGGGCTGACGGCTAAATTCGCGTCACTGAGCGACTGAGAAAGTTCAAATGCGAACTGTGAAAGATTCTCAAACTTAAAACTTCCGTTGTCCTTGACATCTTTGGCGGGGAAAAGACAATAGGATGAATTCAAACTTCCTTGTTTTTCGAAAAAGGGAAAACACTTTAGTGCTACGTTATTCGGGGAGTTTATATTCTCACTCGCACTAGGAACGACGGTGTCTAGATTGTTAGATATAGTATAAGTCAAAGGTCCGCTGACATTTTCATCCAAACTCGCCACATCCTCGGTCAATGTCTTCGGCAACCTTCTGCTCAACTGTTGAATTCTCTGTTTCAAAGCGCAGTTCTCCTCGTTACAAGCTCTCTTCTCCGACAATATTTTGAGTACTTCTTGTTGCACCTCGTCTAATGTGTGTCGCAGCTCGTGGCAATGTCTCTCTAATTGGTTGACATCTGTTGTGTCGTCAAACGATGTCTGAACTTCAGTGGATTCTGTCTTCAAGGTAGTAGCAAACAGACTGGAGCTTCCACACGAGTCGTCAACAGCTGACTTCTCTTCCTTCACAGCAACGCCTTCACTCGCCAACTGAAGAAAAGTTATAGTCCAATTATGAATTAAAGTGGCACTGATAAAATAATTCATTACTAGGAGAAATTAGGTATAAGGTTTCATCTAAATTACATTAATATTCATACCAGACAGAAATCCCTAATTGGACTTAACTAGGGTTTGCATTTTTACGGGATTATGCAGTTTGTTGAACACAATTATATGCTGCATTCCCGCCTCGTGCCATAAATTGTAGATTTAGATTCACCTTACCCTGATATTATCTACTCTAGCTTGAATCCTGTCATGGTTTGTTAACACTCATAATTGCCCTCGATAAAGTTAAGAGACTTGTTAGTTTAAATAATCACAAGCAACACAACTCATGATATACGATCTGAATTGTATAGTTGAATGACAAGTAAGTATTTTTTATTTGCATGGCGATTCACAGCATTTTGTGCAGGTGATGACAAAATATGACAGAAGCAATTTGATCCGTTACTAGGTAAGTAACTTTGATGGGATTTGGACCTAGATGCCCACTTATCATTGAGCTCAATTAATGATGCTTAATAACAAAAGGTCACAGTAAGCCAAAACCAGACTTTAGAACCGTTCGTTAAAAACCATTAAAAAAACGAGTTAAGAATATTATTTTGAAAGCGGCTCTTAGATTATATTTTGATTAAAGGTCCTAAGATGAAAACAAGCCTACAAAATACTGTATTTGTTGATCTGTAATTGAGTTTGATTACCTTTAAAAACCAATGATAACCAGTATGCAACTGAATGTAATTTGAGATCCAAACTAAAACGTTTTAAAGTTGCACATCTAATAAATAAACTGTTTATACTTATAAGGTTTTATAACTGTTTCTAAAATTATTATTCATCCAAAACAAAAATAATCACGATTAGATGAGATCATGAAATAGAGTTAAAGTACATAATCTTTACCTGCATCGCAGAAGTTTCTGTTGTGCTCATGGAGTCTAGTTGTGACTGAGTCTGAAAAATACAAAGAAAATCTTCTCACTTAACTTTTAACTTAAAGATTGACAACTGTAATCATTTTCAGCTGAGTTTTCTGTTCAAGTATCGGTTGTTATCTGGAGGAGTAGGACGGTTATTCATAGTTGATAATTTACGTTTTGTTTGCAAGAGTAACAACCTCTATCTTTCGTACACCAGACAACACGTGTTCTGACATTTTTACTGTGATTTGGTAACAATTTTAAATTAGTTAAGCTATTAACACAAACATTTATTTTATTTTATCACCTAAACAGTACACAAAGGGGATCTCTTTGTGTACTATTAAAAACTGAATATTAAATGCAGTTGTGAGATGATCTGTGTACCTACTACTGTGTAGTTTTGTTAGTAGGTTAACATGTTTCTTTAGTTATGACATGACAATTAATTAAAAACTCAAAATTAAAGGAAATATAGGTAAAGTTTTGAATCATACAAAAGATTCTATGGATTTCAGAGTATACGATCTACTGAAAGCAAACACTACAAAACTCAGTTTATGTTTAACCGAGCTTAAAAGATTTTATCAGTCCGTCCAGATAATATATTTCAAACTTAGCTTAAAAGATCTATCAACTTGGTCAATGTCTAGGCTACGGGGGCAAAGTCTAGTGTGTGAGAAAAAAAATTTAAAAATACAATTTTTCATCTCAAAAGTGCTAAGGAATTATATATATATATAGGGCCTCGATCGAATAAGGAATCAGAAGAATCCATCGAAACAACAACCGATATGCCCATTTAAAAACACACAATCAAAAGTTGCGCCGGCACAATATATCGTCGCTTAGCACTTTTCAGATTAAACGCGAACAACGACATATTAATGCATAGCACATTTCAGGAAAACAACGCATAACGATAGTCGCATAGCACTGAAAGGGTTAAAGAATAAATATTTCAGATGTTAGATTCCACCTTGAGAATATTCTATTACTTACTTGCAAATATAGTCTGTAAAGTTTATGATATATTATTAAAACCGTTCAGTTGTTATTTATTGTTAGTTAAAAATCATTCATAAGCTTTTCATGGTTTCATGGTAATAAATAGTTTACTGAAAAAATAATAATATTTTATTGTTCAAAATATAGTAAATGTTTTAGGATTTACAATTGTCACCTTTTATCAAACGTTTTATAGCATTTCTGCTGTAATACAGATTTTTTAATGGTGATTTTCTCATTAAAAGCCATAAAATAACAGAAAAATCAGATTTGATAAAAGCGGCCAAATCCATTTTCATTCAAATTAAGTATCTTATAGTACTTGCTGTCACTTCCTCGGAAATCTTTTAAAATGCAAAATAACATAATTTATATCGATTCTTCTTCATGACCTTTTTTTAACGAATATGTGTGTGTAACAAAATGCAGTTCAGTATGTTTCTATCTTGTATAATTCACAAGATATGAGCTTTCTTTTAGAACGCACGTCTGCGCTAATTCGCATTGTGCACAGAAACACAATAATTGTAATAGACAAAATTATTGGATTACTTACTAAACAGCTGCATATTTATATAAGTAAAATTGAGAACAATCTGGAAGTCGTTATGAGAGGATATCTTTACACGAAAAGTATTTTTGTTTTCTAGCTTGGTTTGTCTATTGATGATGAATTAGGACAAAAAAATATAGTTCATCACATGGGCAAACATGTCTTTTCATCCCTCCCTCATTTACTCAGGTGAATCTTTGGGTCGAAAAGAGTAACTTTACGCCCTAGTGATGACGTATATGTTGCTATTCTGCAATAAAAACACTCTGTTCAGACTTTGTTGTTGTATTTTATTTATTTAATTCGTTATTGTTGTTATAGATATCTATAATATTAAAACGAAACAGTGTTTTTTTATTTCACGATTCTGAATCAACCACTCAACGGATTTTCATGATTTTTGTCTTGAAAGAAAGATAACTTTGAGAACTAGGGAATGTCGAAGCCATAATTTTAGTTTAGTGCCCCAGTTTTTAAGAAATTAAGTTTTATTTTGAAAAAGTCTAGCAGCCGACGCTAAGATTCTAAACTAGCTTTTGACATAAAATAATTTGCTTAACATAACAGCTGTAAACATTCAGCTTTTGTGTCACAAATTCAGCATTTGGATAAAATGTAAAGACATACTTAGGGTTGACTTATTTATACTATGTGTAATGCTAATCATAGATACGTTCAATTCTTATGTAAGAGGATGACAGATTAATTAAATATACATAGTAAAATACTAGGATGTTTAAATTATTTTTTAAAGCAATCTTTGTAATCTTCGATTTGTTTTAGAGCAATATAATTTGTTTTAACTAACAGCTGGTTAAATATAAACTATGGAACTATGAGGTTATTTTATTTACTCTTATTTTGTCATTGATTATAGGAAATAAGTAAGATTAGTAGAGATAATTATACCACAGTTTAAACCACAGTACAAATCGAGGCTCCGTACACGAGTCTTAATAAAAAAGGATAAATGCAAATTATTTTACTGCTACACATTTCAAGGAAAGATTAGAAAAATAACAATGTTTACATGTTTTACTTCTTCATGGTAGCTTTTTGTTTACAGTTAATGTTTGTCTGCTTTAACTTTGTTAGGATTAGGCCCGGAAATATTAATGTCATAAAAAGATCAAGAATAATCAGGAATCACGATTTTAAATTACCACCACAACCTCAGCCGGGTTTTATACAAAGATAAACAGATGGATGACATAGATTGAACACAACGTCAACATTGACCTAGGATACTGCAATTAGACAAACCATCCTTTTATGAAATCGTGTTCAGTTGTGGTTACGTTTGGGGGCGCCTATATCAGCGCCCCCAAACGTGAAAATATCACTTTTATTTCAACTATGAATATATTGTAGTTTAAATTAACTAATATGGGAAATTACTATGTACATTTATTCAATTAGGCTGGGTAATTATCAAGGATAGAACTGATAACGGTATCGATAATAGACATTGACAATTACGTCATTAGCTTTACTAGCGTGTTTACTTTTTATATTCCTGCTACATATGACCAGTTTTTTTTTTCAAATGAATGTTATTTGAACCAAACAGCTGTTTCAAAACAAACTGTTATTGTTTTTACTTTTCTTTGTTTACGCTTATTTATTTAGCAATTAATGCAGTGAAATTGATATAAAGGATAACTGTGACGATTAGTTTTGATGTTAGGACACCAAAGTTACTGTGAATTTAATTGGATATTATCGTTTTATTTTAGGTTGTTTCTATTCAGACCTACTGGAAATTGTGTATAGTAGTTGTATTGTGGTGATAATAATTATGGAAGAGGCAGGTATGCTATGGAAGGTGGTATCGTTGACTAGGTCTATACACTTCTCAATTGACTATTACTCTCTCTACTGTAGGCTACTTATAATCAGTGTGCGAATCGGCTGCAAATCTCACTTCAACGCTTTTCACATTGTAAAAATTGCAGAACTGCTGTTTTATTGTAAAATTATCGGATTTAAAATGCATATAGTTTAGGCCTATGATGGAATAAAAACATATTTGGTCACACAACATTTGTTTACAAGATGATTTTTCATATTAAAACTGCAAGAAACTTTGTCTTTATATGTGTAAACTAGCCGATCTGAATTGTACACGGTTTTAACTGACTACTGAATTCCCGTACGTAGGACGGGCTAACACCTCGTTTAAATAATTGCCAATGTTATTAGCGAATTTCCCATATCTATATATATAAAATCCAATGTATGTTTGTATGTTTGTCCTTTATGGACTCCAAAACCGCTCGACAAATTGTAATGAAACTTTCAGGCATTATTAAGCATTATTCAAGGATGGTTTGTGTGAAGTTTGGTGCAGATCCGTCAATAGGGCTCCGCCCCAGTGTCTCTGGAGTTTCCCATGTTAACCTTATGAGTACTCATATTTAAATGGAATTAAAGAATCTTAACAGCAGGTGCAACTAAACAATTTGATTCTGTGATGTTCAATAGCATTAAAAAGTTAATAGGTTTAGCAACAGGGTGCAGCACTATATTTATGAGAACAGCTAATTTGCAACCAAAAGGTGAGTGAGCGTAGCGAACGAACTTCAACCTGGAGGCGAGTTAGCGTAGCGAACGAGCTAACCTGAAGGCAAGTGAGCGCAGCGAACGAGCTCCAACCTAAAGGTGAGTGAGCGTAGCGAACGAACTTCAACCAGGACGTGATTGAGCCATGCGAACGAGCTCATCTTGAAAATGAACGAGCATGTGACATAAAACCACAATAGGACAGGACGACGTCTGTCGGGCCAGCTAGTAGGGAATATTAGCGAACTTCCCATATAGGGAATTAGCTATTACCGTAGTACTCATGGTAAGACCTGGGCGCGGGACCGATTTTTTTTTTCATTTTGAAGTCCCTAGAGGCCAAAAACACCATCCGTTCAAATTCATATATATATATGTGTCCGTTAGCGCGATAACTCGAGCAAAAATGATCTGATTTTGATGAAATTTGGTACAAACGTGTAAACCTACGTTTATTCGAACGAGTTCGCGATCCAGCATAATCGGACCATGGGAACAGGGGTTTATGGGGGGTTTTATGGGGTAAAAATGTGTTTTTCCCATTTTTTACCCTAAAAACAAAAAATTTTGCAATTTCTTTCTAAACCGTTTTGTAGAGCTTAAAAAAAGAAATAATTTAGTATATTGAAGCGCTGTTGTATGCCTAACGGAAACGGAGAAAATTCAAAATTAGTTTAATTTAAAATTCCCATGTTATTCTTATGGAGAAAATAAAAATTGTTGTAGTTTACTTGTTTATGGATATATATTGATAAAATTTGGCAAATTTATTTATTTCATCCCATCCTATTCACGTATGGTCAAAAAACACTTTTTACCTTCCCCGTAGCAGCAAACCTAAGCACTTGTTAAATCTAATGTTATTTAAATAGGGAATAAATATGTCTTATTTATGGAAATATTTGAGTAAAAATGTAATCAGACAAGTTGAAATTCGCTTAGTCTGCAGGTTTGCTGCGGCGGGGTTATTTTTTAAGATATTTATTTGTACGTTATTTATTGATATTTATTCGTTTTTGTCATATATTGTATTGTTGTGAGTGATTACACTAATAATTATAATTTCTTCAGCAAGATGAACTTTTACCATATTTATTATTTATAATGCATGTCAAGATTTTGTTTGAATATTAATGCTACAATGTAATTGGGTTTATCCTGTTTTGCAGCATTGTAATAATAAAATAAATAAATAAATAAACACCTGTTTTCAATACATGCATACTTAAACAGCTTGTTTTTTCAAAGTCCCAAATAGAATCAGTTGGAGGCAAAGACATCAGCTGTAAATTGTAAACCTGTAAAATTCTTCTGCTGATAAAAAAAATACTAAATATTTCCCTACAAAAATATTCCACTTTTTTCTTGACATATTGAACAAATATAGCAGTATCGGACGTTTACATATATATAATAAACAAGAAGGAAACCATTTTGGGAACTAATTATCAAAATTAAAATATAAGAAATTAAGTTAAGAAATTAATATAGAGCACAAGGGCCTAGGTTTTCAAGTTTTTTTTTTTTTTTTTTATGAGGATAGCATGCTTACCTGAATTGGAAAGAGTCCAAACTGGTACAGGACACACAAAACTTTACACTATATACACTAAACATGCCATGGCTTCCTTAGACAAAAGGTTTTGTGTAATGTGTAAAGTTTGGGTATCCTGCACCAGTTTGTACTCTTTCCCATTCAGGTAAGCCTGCTATCCATCGGCCTGCTTAAAATTATTTAGCTTACTGGAGCAGTTTGACAATGAAAATACTTCTCTTTTGATCAACTTGAGCACGAGCCAAAAAAGAGATAAAGAGTTACTTGAGGCCTTGATGAGGAAATAAAGGCTTACTTTTTAATACATGCACCAAAACCTTTTCTCTTTTTGTATGAATTTTATCTTCAGACAATCATATAAAAAAAGGTCAAGTTCCAAGGTTAATTTCTGCAACTCTCTCATAAGACAGAGAAATAAATAAACAAACTCAAATTGTACCACAACATGCATTTAATTCCCAAAGCAATACAAAAAACACAGCATAAACAAAACATAGTAGACAAATACAAAAGACAAATGATGCAGTAATATTTCAACATGTAGAAGAAATTACCACAATTTAAAAACAAACAATAACAACTTAACAAAATCTTTAATGCCTAAAACTTTTGGTTTATAACCGTGAATTAGCATTTCCACAATAAATGTTATAGTCATAAAAATACTATGAAGCATAGCATTGCTACATTGATGTAAAATAGTAAAATAAAAGGTAGGTAATTAATAATGTAAAAATAGTTTTAAACTTAAATTGCAGAAACCTACAGTCTTTTTTTTATCACAAAGAATATTTAAAAAATAATACTGAATTTAATCACAAAGCACCCCCAAATGAAAATCATTGATTGTCATTTAAATGAATGATTTTACTTTTTAGGAAGGAATTTAGGAAGGATCGGTGATGAAAACTTAACAAAGAAAATGAAATAATTTATTCACAAATAAGAAGCCTACTTCATGTCTCTGGTTAAGGAGTGAAAAATAAATACCCAGGCATTATTGTAACATTGAAAAAACTAGAAACTATTAAAAAGGAGAGTTGCAGAAACTAACACTGATCTTTGTGACATATCAAGTAGGCCAAACAAATTAATGTTTGTGTTGCTTAACAAATGGAATGTTATACCACACTTTGCATACATTTGATACTATTACTAGTTAAGAAAAAAATAAACATGTGCGATTGACAACAAATTTGAAACTAATCGTTGAAAGTTGGCTTGGTAATGACATGGGGTGGTGGCATAAAACATGCAAAAGATTTATAACAATACTAAACAAGTCATGAACAATAAAGTGTACAAAAATTCAATTCACATTAGGCTTCTAAAAGCTACATGTAAAGATTGTGTACATAATAAAAAACAAATTTGTGTTAGGTCACACTAAATACTTCCAAATTAAAAACTATACTACAGAAAACATTAGTCATGCAAAATTAAAATCAAATACAACCTAAAGCGTTTTAATTTACTATCACAGGGTGTCCAGCAAGCCACGAAGCTTAAACTAAAAGGAAAATTTATCGTGTTCTATATTAAAAATTATAACCATTTCAAGGTTTGTAAAGGTCAACATTTATTTCTAAAAAAAGGAAGCTAACTTAAACTAGTACCTAGTATATTGAAAAAGCAGTAAAAAAATGTGTAACCAAAAAAGTTAAAATAATACCAGTAAACCTATAAAATAAAATCTAATCACAACCATTAAACAACACTAGGGGAATATTTCTGTTACTGTAGTGAATATTCATTTACCCTCTCCTTCTTTAATTAAATCTTGTGTCTTTGATCTTGGTGTTTCAGGTTCATCTATTTACATGGTCAACATTTGTGATGCATTAGTGATCCAAATTCTACAAAATCAGGTCCCAAATCTCAAATCCAAGGTCAATTAATTGTTATAAGTTACAATATAGAATCTACTTTGAAAATATATTTTCAATCATCAACAAAGAAAAACGAAATCGCAAAAGCATAGTAGGTATTTTTTCAAACATGACAAAATCCTGATCATATTAGGTTTTGGGCGGCAACAATCATTATCATATCCGGTTTTGTGCGGCAACAATCATTATCATATCCGGTTTTGGGCGGCAACAATCATTATCATCTTCCCCGATCACAGCAACATCTCAATCAATCTCCGTGATCGCTATTCTCTTACTTGACATTATGACGGTCAATTGGATTGGTTGGAGCATTAAGGTTTTAACACTTGGTTGGCCTATTGGCGATTTCTAAAAAATCCCGGTCAAATACAAAATTCACAAATAATTTACAGATTTTCTCAACAACAGTAAAATTCATGTACCACTCTTGATTTTTCCGTTAGCTGGACACCCTGTATCACTACAAACTAACAGAACTTTGTTCTTTTTACTCAATTATAGTTAAGTTTAATACTGGTTGAGCTTTTGAGCCAATCACATTGGCCGGTTATAAATAAGAAAGCATGTTGCACATGTCACTTAATACAATACTCTAAGCATAAAATACATAAATTAAATATTCAACAGTATAAAATTTGTCAGAAAATAATCAAAGAGTTATTGAAACAATAAATAATCAACCACAGAGCGGTGTACTAAGATCGACTATACGTGCAGGCAGTTATTTACCGCTAATTTTGTCTTCATTTCATCATTAGTTTTCTGGAGTTCTGCGACAGTTGCTCGAAGATTCTCGATTTCTATGAGGTAAGCATCATCACATCCTCCAATGTTGAAGGTTACCTGGGCAAAACAAATATACTTTTTATTAGAAAATAGTTTTAAAAAGCATAAACAAGTGTGAAGACGTGGTTTTAACCTCTGCTTTCCAATCAAATATTATAGCTTAGTCAGGATTGTTTAAGTATGTTGAATATGATTTTAATCAAGATTTTTGACCAAAAACTAATAAATGCCAATCACAAATCGCCTGGTGTTTGTATGAAACAGCGATGATCTTTTAGAGATCAATCAGTTGAACTGTACAACTTGTATTATTAATTTATATTTTATACTAACAAAGCACCAAAATATTTGGGGCACCAAAATTATTTGTTCTGGGCGGTTCCCCAAGTTGTTAGGGGGAGGGAGTTTGAGTGTAGACCTAACTTCCGCCGGCTGTGGGGTGAAGTCTAGTCATGCGTGTGAATGGGTATGACAAAAGATTACGGCCTTTCAAATATAGAACTATACAGGATGGAGAGGACACAGCTATCTCACCTGAGGATGTGGCGTTTAAGCTTCGTTATTGGCGATTTTTGTAGATAGATTGACTGTTACGACCAAACCGTTCATGTAGGAAACGACAACTGAATCTCTTTATTTAACCAGAGGAGACATTTTACGGCTAATCACAGGCCCAAAGAGCCAGCTTTGATGGTGATTTATACTAATTGAACCATTGTAACAACAATCTGGCAATCTGGCATTTTTCCAAAAAAATTAAAAATATCCAAAGTTGTACCTATACACAAAAAAGATTCTACAAAAGACATGTCCAATTATCGTCCAATTTCGATTCTGCCATCCTTTTCAAAAATTTATGAAAAAGTCATGTACAGAAGATTATCCCAATTCTTAGAAAATTCAAACATTCTAGATATGTCCCAGCACGGTTTTCGGCCCGGAAAATCGGTTTTCACTGCAGCCGTTTCTTTTATTGAATCCATCATAGAGTCCATAGATAAAGGGGAGAACGTAGTGGGCATATTTATGGATTTAACAAAAGCTTTTGAAAGCGTTATCTATTACTTGATAAATTATTGAACTTTGGTGTCAAGGGAGTTGCATACAATTGGTTTAAGTCATACCTTTCCGACCGATATCAGTATGTTGAAATTAACCAAACCATTTCAAATAGGATCACGGGCGCAGCATCGGACTTATGTTTGGTCTCATGTGGCGTCCCACAGGGATCGATTCTGGGTCCTTTGCTGTTCTTATGTTACATAACCGGACTTCCTGAAGTGCTACAGACTGTTCCCCATAGTAATTTATGTTTATATGCAGACGACACAAATTTAAAAATCTCAGCAAAGAACCAAAATGAAATTGAATATTTAAGTTTTATAGAACTAGCTAATATAAAGCAATACTTCAATAATAATAGTCTTTTGTTAAATCCAAATAAAACTAAATTTATTACATTTTCCACAAAGCAAAATCGTAAAAAAATATCTCCAAATATAATGATTGAAGAGGAAATTATTGAACAAGTGAATGAGGCTAAATTTTTAGGTCTATATATTGATGAAAACCTATGCTGGGACAAACATGTCGAACATATATCGAGAAAAATTAACTCCGGTTTATTCGCCTTAAGGCGTATGGCCAGCCTATGCTCATTGCCTGTACTAAAACAAATATATTTTGCTCTGATTCACTCTAATATTTCTTATGGAATTGGCTTGTATGGTGCAACAACAATAAATAATCTGAATACAATTCTAAACCTACAGAAAAAAGCAATTAGATGTATGCTCAAACTTGAAGATGATGACTCCGCAAGAGAACACTTCAAAAATCTTAAAATTTTAACTGTGTATGGTCTGTATATTTTTGAATGTATCTTATTTTTTATAACAAAAACTTATGTACAACCAATAGGTCATCAATATAATACAAGAAGACAGACCAAAAGACATTTTGAAAAGCATAGATTGGAATTTTTAAAAAAAAAGACGACATACATTGGCAATAAATTCTTTAAAGCACTTCCGAATGAACTAAGATCAGAAAAAAATAATAACAAACTAAAATGTAAATTGAAAATATATTTGATCAACAAACCCATTTACTCAATAGAGGAATTTTATGAATACAACAAAATTATGAAGCAGTAGTGGTAGTTTTTTTAAAATTTATAATTGTATTGTTTTTTAGCTTTATATTTGACGCCATTTCTTGTAATGACATGTACAAGGACAAATAAAGTGATTTGATTGATTGATTGATTGATTGATTGATTGATTGATTGATTGATTGATTGAACATAAATACTATTGTCTTTGAATATATGCAATAAATTATTAATCAAACAACTGGACACAACGTGACCTAACATTTGAGGTAATATTGATATTGAAAGGTGACACTAGAAATAAGATAAGCATTTTGACTACAGAATCTGAAAAGAACAATCATGAAAATTTAGAGTAATTACATATCACTGTACATAACACCGTACCTCTCATGGGGCCTTACCTGTTACCCCCATACCCCAACTCCTAGCAGAGGTCCATGCTGTAGGTTAGACAGACACCAAGACAGAGTCCTCATTCACTTTACTCACCTTACAAGTCCAAACAATCCAAAAATATCGGTGAGATGAAATCTGAAATTGTCTGACGGACGCCGGCAGAGCGACTTACGGGCCTGCACCCGTCAGTGTAGTGTAGATAACACAATAGAAAATCCATTAAAGAATATTTTGGTTGAGTGTGACGTTAATGATGTGACTGAACTGTGACCTACCCAACTTATGTGTGTGAATCGACCTTTAGCTGTGTCCTCTCCATCGTAAGTAATTCTTTTATCCAAAATAAATGATTTTTCCTAAAAACATGACCTTCCAAATAAGTGATGTTACTGTCCTTGTGATGCCTGATGATGGTTCCATGTGTACTGATACTATAATTCGGCCGCTTAGAAAGCGACCTGCGTGCTAATGCTAAACCAATGCTAGAGGAGGTCGCTTTCTAAGCGGCCGAACTATAGTTTCTATTACACTTTACAATCATATAGGATTACCAATTATTTAATTACTAAGCCAATTACAGTATAAACAAAAACCGATTGTTCTAGATTAGTTTAAAAATGTGTGACATTTAAAGTGAATTCTATGGGTATGAGGGGAAAAAAATTACAAATATCTATCACTAATACATGACACCCTGTGTACGTAGCCTAAGTTCAGTATATGACTACCTTGTCAATTGAGGGGGAGGAAAGAGTGAGAGAGTTATCCAAAGTGTCAAAGTCTGCCTCTAGTCCACTCTCACTGTGGCGCATGGTCCTGCCAATAGCCAAGCCTGTGAACAGCACACCAGTGTGTCAATAATAATACATTGTTTATAAATAAACGATATAGTAGACAGTAGACCTGGGGATTAGGAAGGGTCGGGAAAAATCACTAATTTTTTTTTAGTTGTAATACCTTGGAATCTTAAACTTCGGAATTACATGGCGTTGCCCGGGTCACTGACCCAAAATTGACGCGATAAAGTGAATTTGTAATGTATTGCTATGCGCGACCGGAAGATCAATTCTGATCATCAATAATTAGTCTGTTGTTTTTGTTAAGTTAAATATCAATTTCTTAAAGTGCCTTGTAGATTTCAATTTCAACTATAAAATATTAAAAATAAAAAAATTTAAAAATTTGAATAAATAATATACATTTCATTAAATATGAGTTTTTCATTTTTTGCTCAAACTTTAGAGCACATGCGCGACCGGAAAATAACAACAACTAATATTTTTACCCTGTTTTGGTCTTACAATTTAGCAACTTTTCCAAGGTATTACAACTCAATAGAAATTAGTGATTTTTTCGACCCACCCTACTGGGAATGTCCAGAGGATTCCAGTTTATCTTAGAAATGAGTTTGTGTTTGTGCAAAGTAATACATTTACAATTATGCAAAGTACTAACATTTCTTCTTGAGCCTTCAAAGACAAAATATTATGTGCAAAAATTAAATATTCAACCCAAATCTAAAAAAAATCTCAAATTTGAGATTCTATGGTCCCAGCTTAATTAGTTACACATACCATTTGTCCATGTCACCACAACTAATGTATTCTTCAAATGCAGTGAACATATTGAAATCTAAAAAGGGATAATCAATGGCTTAAAATTGTTGTTTCTTGTTGATTTAACAGATTTATGGTATCAATATTATTATCTGAATTGTGGGAAATGATCAGAAATTTCTGCAATCATAAAAAGATGATCTCGACATGTATACAATGCTGATGTTATTAGTTTTGAAAATGAGGTATAACAATGTTTTAGAATTGACTCAAAATTAAGTAGAAAATAGCGAGAACCAATTTCACAGTCCATTTTATATTGTGTTCTATACAAAATGATACTTATATTTAGGATTTATTTGGATTGAGATTTGAAATTATTGGATTTGACCAACATTCACCATGCAATGAAGAGTTTCGAATGCATTTATAAAATAGGCTGCTAGAAAAAGGCTCTAGGTGTTTTTTGTGTGTTTTTCTTCTAAGATTTGTCTATGCTGCTACCTTACCTTCCAGCTGGACACTGTCTAGTGAGAGGTCTGTGTCTGTGCAGTATCTCCGCACCTTGCCTAGACGTGGACTGTCCTGTTCCCAGGAGTCTGGCACGGGACAGGCCAGGGGGGAGTGACCTCTCCGCTTGGTACCACCACTGGACCCCTCCACTGACCCACTGCTGTTCTGACTGCGAGTCAAACATCACAACTGTACTCACTTGTAAAATGTATTGAGAGAGTTTTATCACAAGATGTCAACTACTGACCAATATATTTTCCTGATTTGTTGAACTGTTTCTCGACCTTTACTGTAGTTGAACAAAAAGGTCAAAATGTATTGTAGAGCATGCTTGTAATTTTTGTTTAATATTAGATCATGTACCTAATTTCAATTTGTTAAAGATATGACTTATAAATATTTAGTTTTAGTGACGTGAGATATACTGCAAACCAGTAATGTACTGAGAAGCGCTCAAGAATAAAGACATTTGGTACTTTCCTGTTAAAGGGAACATTCATTATTATCGATGATTTTTTTCTCAATATATCGATATTAACAAATTGAAACATATAAATAACCTAACATAACTAACCAAACTTGCTGTAACATTTAAAAATTCCGTGTTTAAAACTTGCCTTTTATATTCAAACCCAAAGGGAATTTTTAAATGGTACAGCAAGTATGGTTGGTTATGTTAGGTTAGCTTAGAACAGTTTCATTTCTTGTTGTCAATTTGTAATGGATCGGAAAACAAAAACATTGATATATCGAAAAAAAAATCATCGATAATAATGAATGTTCCCTTTATCAGGAAAGTACCAGACATTTTTATTTTATTTGCCTACCGTTTACAGATGGGCCGGGCGGTCAGGTTCTCCACTTGTATGGTTAGTTCATCATTGCGGTCGCGAAGGTTGGTGTTTTCCGTCTGCAGTTTGGCCAACTGTTCAACCAAACTCTGCACCTGCTCACTATTACCCTCCAAATCTTGCACCTGCCAAACAGTAAAGCCGTTAAGAGAAACCAAACTATTTTAAAGTAGATGTGAAACCACCAAGGTTTTAACGTACAAGTTACATCATTTTGCACCGAGGTCAGTGTAAAGAAAATATGATCTTTCAAGAACAAACACTGAAGTTTTACTGAAAAACCTGCATTACATTTAGTCACATTGCGATGTATTACCAAAATAATGATTATGTAACCTAAGAAATATTCCAAATTTATTAACCAGTGTGTGATAATTGTTTCGAGGGAAATATTTTTAACTGTGTGTAACAAACTGGTATTCATCCTAGATTTCAAGATTAACTCTAAATTGCCATGTCAAAATTTTAACTCTAAACAATATGGTTATAGCAAACATAAATAAGTAGAGTTAGTTAGTAAGTAGATTATTGGAGACCTCTGGGAACAGTTGTATTTTGAATATGGAGTCCAGGGAGTGCATTTGATAACAAGTTAATCTGTTGATTAACTTAAAATATTGATATTGATTACAATATGAAATATTGATTATCCTTACTCCAAATTTATAAACTAAGTAAAATTCTAATTGAATGAACGAAGTGAATTCTCATACTGTTGCAAGATGCATCTTTCTGTTGTCTGAAATCTCGAGAATGACTAAAGTTAACTTGATGTGTTGCACAAAGATTCTATACCACAATATCTTGCGACTTTTCGTTGTTGAAAAATATTTGTTCCGTAATTAAGAGAAAATCTTAAAAAAACATTTTAAATTTTGTCCCATAAGATTAACATTTTGAGCTACCTTCTTCTTTTAATTTGTTTACATTTTACGACCTACAATTTTGTCGTTTACTTGAGACAAAGAGAACGACTTAGCCCCTTTAACTCTTTCATCCATAGAGTAACAGTCATACCGTATTCACATTATAACTCTAAAATTTCTGGAATGTATTTACAAAAATACTGGCAGGAGTTAACAAATTATCTACTAAAATGTATCACAATTGATTGAAAAATAAATATTTACATGTTTATTCTATAAGCTACGTTTCTTCAGAAGGCTATATAATAAGTACGACGTGACGGTAAATGATGCCGTGGGTAAAACCTTAATTTAGTGAGTAATCTCCACAATTTGTTATGAAAACACAATTTAAACAGCCTCAGGGTGAAAAATTATAACATGTTGAACAGCTACATGGAGTAACACTAAATCATTGAGAATACATTCATGAAAGATTATTATAACTAAAGAATCCCTTACAAGTGCAAATGATGGAAAATAAATGGTAATATAACTCTACATAAATATGATACCTACTTTCTATCTAGTACAACATGATTTTCTATTTTGAATCAAAGCTAAAAAGAATGTTTGCATTACATCTACTTCAGATACTTAAGATACTTACTGTTTCCCTAATATAAACTATATTAGTCATTCAGTGCTGATTACATAAGCTGATACTACAAATAGATAGAGATGAATCACTAACTGATCTTGGACTAAACTTGGTAACTTTTATGCTCCTAATCTATGAAGTCTTCCTCACACTGGAAATAGACCAAAGCAAATTTTTTTCAGCACATCTAACCTTTCACTACTGTGAGATAAGTAAATAGTAAATAAAAAAAAATAGCGGTCAATGTGTTAAAAACCAACATTATTAAGCAACCTAACAAATATCAGTTTAACAAGACTTATACGATTTGGTGGTACTTCATGCCAGCACCACTTTAATAAATGAGCCCAGTGAGCCATGTGGAAATGGGCTTAATTATCTTTTAGGCCCATGGCGCATTATGCAAACTGCGGGCCTACCTTCTGCGATTCTATTACCAGGACCTTGGCATACAAAAATTTAAGACTTTGCTTAATCATGGTAACCACAGACGTTAGTGAAATCCAGGAGTAAAAAATATCGAATCAAAATCCTAAAAATTGAGAATACAATTTCAGATGTGCTGAAATACAGAACGTTCAGTAAAAAATTGGTTCTTACTCAATGTTCTTACTGATTTTTACTTTATTTTAAATAATTTCTTAAACAATAGGTTCTCAACTGTTAACACCAGAATTGCAACAACGTTGTAAGTATCTCACACGATTGCGGCTAGTTCCGTGATAGTTTCTTGCGATCGCGGCTAAATCGGTGATCATATCTTGCAGTCGTAGCAGCATCCATGACGATTTCTCGCGATCTCGGACACATCCGTGATCATAACTTGCAAATGACCACAGGATTTGTGATTATTTGATTTCCCATGATCATCGCAATGTTATGATCATTACTTATGATTGCGGCAAAGCCAAAATAACCATCAAACCTGTGACTTGTGAGCCTCTCATATTATCACAGCAACATTCTTGATCGTTTCTTACAATTATGGCACTGTCCAAATTATGATAGTTTTTCGCAATTACGATTTTTTACAACATAAAACAATTTGACAATTTAGGGTAGATTTTTGCGATTATTCCAAAATAAAAACTTTCCGATCCCATACAAATTTCACGTACTATTCAGCGATTTTTCCTAGTCATAAAAATTCACAAACAATTTCCGTTTTCCCTGTTTTCAGGTTGGCTGGACACCCTGCTTCAACTGTCAACAGAGCAAGTAGACTTCACGTCATCCTATTTTAAGATCTGAAGTTTGTTTTGACATTAGTTTCATGTTGGGAACATGATAACAGGCTCGTGTGGTGATACTACAAGTCAACTAATGTTCCTTGAATTTTAGAGTAGATTTTACTATTTGTGCTTTACTGTTTGGTTAGTATATATAAAAAAAACAACAGTTTATAAATAGATTATCATGTTCAATTCAGACATTTTTAAAGTTGGTCAAATGACAAGAATAAAATAATAAACAAAATAGGCTATCTACAAAAACTATACAAACCTGACCTTGAAATTTCCTTCAGCTGAGCCATAAGGATAGTAACATAATGCAGTATGTGTAGTAATCTATGGTATTTATTGGTTATGGTTGCTTATACTTATCACGTTGTATAGTATAATTATTTCCTATGTTAGCCTATAAGAATCATTACTTTAGTTTTTTAATATAATGTCCAGAAACTAGAAACATCCAGCACTCTACTCAACTGAAAGACTAATAACTACTCCAGCAATGCTGGGATCCTGCCAGTTGTTTATTTATAACTCAAATGTCTACGTTCTAAACATTTGCAACTGGCCAAGGTATAGTTACACTTCTACTCCAAAGACTTCTTAACTAGTTTAAGGTAAAAGATAATTTATTCACAACAACCATAACCCCCCCCCCCCCCCTCCAATTAAGATTAATTTAAACCACGTAAGTAAAATGTTCATGTTCTACAGTTAGGAGTCGATGCTGTTTTTGATTAAATTAACAATACTCTTTTGAAAACAAAGCTTATTAATCTATTGAATAAAATAAACTTATCACACACTTTTTAAATGAAACTCTATATTTCGGCATAAGCCTTCTTCAGGAACAAACAATAACAAATATATTAGGATTCTACATATATATTTGTTATTGTTTGTCCCTGAAGAAGGCTTATGCCGAAATATAGAGTTTTATTTAAAAAGTGTGTGATAAGTTTATTTTGGAAAATTATTAGCCGTTTGGCAATATTATGAAGAAACAATAATCTATTGTATAGAAATAGATACCTATGTTGATTTAACTACTTCACCAGAAATGTATCGTTAAATTTTTGTATACCCAACAGTAAATTTGCTAGAATCCTAATATTTTGACTGTGAAGGTGACGGATTACAGTGTTGGTTCAAAAGATTTTTCTATCTAACTGTGGGAGGTCAGTGTTAAGCATGTTGTACATATGGATCAATCTTGTGGGATAATACACACAATCCAATCTGATAAAGTTGTGGATCCATTATCTGAATTGAGCCATAAATATGGAAGAGCTTTATTGAGCAAGTATTAAGGCCCGGGTATGGCTATTCTAGCGCTTTAGTTTCACAGGTTGATGCACTGATGGATGATCCCCCAACTTGTCTAATATGTAGCAATTGGTGAGCAAACTGGACTAGTGGAAGAGTGCAGACTTCGAACCCTGAGGTTTCAGGTTCAAATAACGACAATTACCAATGGATTTGATCTAAGTGATAGTGACACAACCCTCTGGGTCTAGCCTGAAATGATGTGTAATTATGGGCTAGTGTCTACGTCCTAGAATGTGAAGGTGGGGGAAAAAAATTTAAAAAATACTAAGTGACCTACCCTCTGCTGCAATTGTTGTATCTGCAGGCCATCCCTCTCAGACTTGTTCTTGTACACTACATAGTCTGCCAGCTGTTCACTCAGTGCTTGGTTTTCTCGCTCCATCACTTCAAAGTCCTGCCAACATCAACGGTTATTATAAACAAGTGTTGATATCTATTTGAGCACAAAGAAGCATTATTCTGCACTACAAAAGTAAACTAAACTTTGCAAATTTATTTATTTCATCCTATAGACCTACAACTGTACTATTAGCGTTCAATTAAAAAAATTTCCTTTCCTGTAACAGCAAAGATAAGTAGTAAGTACCGGTACTCGTTAAATCCCATGTCCAATCAGACTAATTGAAATTCTCTTAGTCTGCAGGTTTCCTGCGGCAACGGTATATCAACTTGAACTTTATTTTTAGGATGGCCAAAGCCATAAACATGATAGAACAGTTGTAAAGTCACTCATAAGTCATTAGGCTAAGGACAGTTACTTTAACTGTCTTTGCAGATAAGCTTCAAATCATTACAGAATCAAACCATCAAACCAACAAGATAGATACCATACTCATTATTGGTTATTTTAAAATCTAAATACCGGTACATAGTGTAAACTAGATAAAAATCTAATCCATTTTTGATAGAGAAAGTAACAATATTGTAAACAATAACAACACACAATATGGCAACCGTAATATTGACTTTTTCTCAAAACATCTGGAGACAGAGAAACGATTAAGGATAAAGAGACAGACCTCTGAAGAAAGCCTGTTTTCCGCTGTTTACAGTGATATAAATCCAGTCCAAATCAGAATTAAATTGACTGAGTTAAAATAAATTACGTAACCATCTGCACTACCATCAATGCATTGACACTTGACACCCCAGAGCGTGTCCCGTCTTCTGTCTTTACCGTTGATGAATCGACATTTGACACAAGTAGATTTAAAGTTAACTCAACCTTAGTACCAACTGTTCATACAACTTGGATTGAAAAAGGACTGACTTGAACCTTTGGTTTCCACAATTCACTCAACTCAAATGTATCATTTACGTAACACTCCCACCTGTTGTAGGGTGTTTAACTCCGCCCGAAGTCTAGCCTCCTCCTCCTGCTGCAAAGCCAGTTTCTGTTCCAGTCTCAGCGTAGTGGCAGTCAGCTGATCTCTGTCTACAGCCAGCTGTGCGCTCAGCTGTTTCACTTGCTCCGCGTGTTTCTGCTCCAACAGCCTGAAAATCATAGTAAATGTAGCCTGTCGAACAACTTTGAATGGCAAGATAAGAACAGCAACAACACCAGATTAACAGGAATAAGGTAAAATGTGATTCTTCCTCTCTTTGAGGCTAATCATGATATAACTTGGAATACACCAAGTCAACTTGACCGCCAACTCTCTTGACAATTATTAATAAAACAGATATTCTCTCACTATCCTCCCTTATAATTTTATAATTTGCCTTGATTGATTGTTAGAAAAAAAGTTTGAAGGAGAAAAAATATTATGTTAGTTGAAAGAAAAGAGTAGGCCTTATATAGGAAAAATGTGTGATTAGATTTTGCTTGGAGGATCAATACAAATGTACGTTTAGGCACAGACTCAAAGTAAAAAAAAGTACATAAGTTAAGCTCTATTGAGTGAGAGATAAATTAATGTCCAGAAGAAAAACTTAATTAAGTCAAGAACAAGAGCTCGCCCCGTGGTCGAAAACTCAACCAAAAGTATGTTTTGTGCAAACATCTCTATTTTCACCCCACTCTGTAAATAAAACATGATTTAAATTTCTTCCATGACCTTTCTCTTGGCACAATTTGTGTGTAAATCTAGTCTATTACAATACTAAAATGAGGAACACTTAAATCCTTTTAACACGTATTCACAAGTCTCTGGACTTACTTGATCTGTGTCTGTGAGGCTCTTTCCATACGTGCGTGTCTATCATCCACCTCCGTAGCTATCAGTGCAGCTCTCTGATTGGCCTCCGCCAGATCACTGTGAAGTTTGTCTCTCTCCCCTGTCATCTGTTCCAGGCAAGACCTAACAAGCAGATTGTAGGTGAAAAAAATGTACCTACCTAAAAAACTTACTGTATTTCAAACACAGTTTGTAGCTTGAATATAATTTAGTCTGATTATGAAATCAAGACGTTTTCAAGCTACCGTTGGATTTACCTTGGTTGAAAACATTCAACAAGAGTAAAAAATAAAGAACAAATTCTAATGGTCTCACAATAATTGATCAATCTTGGCATTAAGTTCTCATGGGTTTTGCCGCGATTACAGAATACAATCATCTCTGTCGCCGAGACCGCAAGATATGCTTAAGAATGTTGCTACAATCGCAGGAGACACTCAAAATCACTAAGAAATATGTGTAATAATAATAAAAAAAAAAATCAATTACATGTTATCAACCAATGTTAAACCTCAAATTAGCAATGTACAAATACCAAATTTGTAAGGTTGGTAACAGAACAGTACCGTTTCCTGACTGGAATTATACACATTTTTACTTTTAGACAGGACATTGACTTTGACTTCAAACTGGTGTTACCCAAGCAAAAGGGAGTCTACCGAACAATATTAGAAAAAATATGTTAACATTTTTTAATAAATAACTTCTTGATCAGCATTGTACGTGTTATTAAATTTACAGAAAGTAAATAAAGATACGTCTTATAACACTTAAAACACATATTTACGCTTATACTGTTACTCACAAGACGGTAAATATACAAAAGATGGTAATGGTGATCGATTTCGATTGGATACTCCAATCATCATCAGACCCAATAGGCGAAATGTATATGTACCATCTTTTGTATATTTACTGTCTTGTGAGTAACAGTATAAGCGTAAATATATGTTTTAAGTGTTATAAGACGTATCTTTATTTACTTTCCGTATTTTTTAATAATCATAGCAAATTATAGTAGGCCTAAAGATAATATTTGGCTATACCTGGTCCACTTGAGCTGTGTCTGAGCAAGCACAAGGGCGGCAGTGAGGGCGTTGACCTGAGGAGAGACACTGGCAGTCTTGGTAGCCATGGAGCGCACCTCCTCCTCCAACACAGCTGACAGTGAGGTCAGGTTGACCTCTGGGTTGGACACACCGAGGTCAAGTAGCAGTGATGCAGCGTTGACGACTCCCCCGGCTTCCCACAGGTCTACTAGGCTCTCACTGCTCACGTAACTGGAAAAAAAAAATCAGAAAGAGACATAGAAAGTCCATTTTTACAGCATCAACACTAATAGCATTTTCAATATGGCAATTTAAACCACTTTTAAGGAAAAGCAATCCTGACCTATGAAATATTTTGTTCCAAAAATGGAACTAACCCCTCTCACACTGAAGTCCAAGACTCTACTAACCACTAAGCTAGCAGCACACCAAACACTCAATCACACCTGTAGATTAAACATATTCGTTTAAGTTTTTTTATCGTGGCGATCAACTGAAAACTGAGTTAATTTGCCAGTGAGTTCAAATGTTTAGGCCTACTTTATTTCTCATTTAATTGAAACTTTAAAACTATTTGAACTTAATAGCCTAAAGATTAATTTGCATATTAAGTTATAGCTTGCACTCTGTCTCTAAATTAATATCAAAGTTCTATCATCATAACTTATTTTATATCAAACTTACCATTGAAAATGAGACATCAAATACAAAAAAATTGAGCATACTTCAAAGGGTAGGCCTACAAATAAAGAAGAGATAAATAGTTTTTGGGAGTCAATTAATGGTTATTACGTGAAATTTACAGGTGTTACAAAATGGGATGGCTCAACTTCACAATTTATATGAAGCTATTTAATCAATGGATTGCCTCTAAAACAGTGCAAAAAGTCTACGGCAAATGAGTCTACTACTACGGAGTGCATAAGGACAATACATTTTTCCAATGATTTTTTTACAGACAGCAAATGAACTGACCCAGAGGAAGTGACGTCCAGGCTGGAGAGATGCTGATGTTGGAAGGACGAGGGCTGAATGTTCCGAGGACTATCACTGTCTGCGGACTGCGTCTGCGTGTGTGTACTGCGGAACAACTCCAGGAACTCTTCAAAACTTATCCTCCCCTCAGCATCCACGTCCAGCTTGGCAAAAACCTGCTTGACCACCTGTTTAACAAATCATTGACTGATAGAAAAAGGTAGTTAACTAACTGGGAGCTGACAATTTTAAAAGCTCACTTGTTAACATAAACTATAGTCTAATATTTTTTCCTCCCTTCTAATAGACTCTTGGAGAGTCTCTACTGTAAAAATGGAAAAGGGCTGCTTTACGACCATTTAAATTTGTAATGACCATTTTTGATAATCAAGGGAAGGTGGCAGAAGGGAGAGGTTTAGATGTGTATGAGTTTTTAAACCAACACCTACTAACTTGAAGAATATATAAGACCAAGAGCAATATTAGGTGTGATAGAGCATAACAGAGGGTTCAAGCTTATGAGACAACCGCACGCCTACAGCTCTGGTATGTTGGGGCCGAGATGTACTAGTATCGAGCAAGGAAGAGCCCAAATACATAGCTTATTTGTATAGCAGTTGTAGCGCACAGGGTATTCCTACCCCGTAAGAGCACTGTAGTACAGGATGACGAGGGAGGAAAGGAGAGTGGACAGGTACAACGAATAGAATTGGCACACCAACAAATTGTGCTAGATACCACTTAAGTGTTTCATTAAATGTATCCTCTGTTTCTTAATTCTTTGTGGATAGTCAGGGATGAAAAGATCAGAATCCACAAATAGCTTCGACATAATAGAAGGAAACAAGAAGAAATAATCCTTAGGGTGTTTATAGTGATAAAAAGAGATGTACTGATACCAAAACTTACTGATTCCTTATACCAATACCAGAAAAATCTATCCTCGATTCTGAAACAATTTTTTATTAACTTAACAAATCTTCTATATGGTTCTGTTAAAACAAACAAACAATCCCTCTAGTCTTTAGGTCCTAACACAAATTAATTTTCGGGTAGCCTAATAGGGTGTTTTTTATGTGAAAAAAATAAAGCAGCAATGAAACTAACAAGGCCTAGTTAAAATTTAAATGTAAACCAGAAACATCATCATTGCCTTTTACGAGGGTGGCAAAATAACAAAAATCCTGTACGTTCACGGAATATGACAATTGTCTTCGGGGATGGCGGCAAAATCCTGAGTGTCTCCTTCAATAAAGGGAAACATCATCACCATCTTCCACGATCGTAGCAAAAGCATGAACATCTCTAGCGGTATCTTGTAGACATTATCATCCTCTTCGGTATTCATGGAAACGATAATGTTTGTTGTTGTCTGCAATTGCGGTGAAAAAGTGAATTTTTTGACCCCGGAACTTTTGATGATGTGTCAGGTATCGTTATCGGTATTGGCATTTAGACAATCAATTCTTGATACCAATGGTGTCCAAGAATTGGTGGTATTATTGGTATCGGTATTGAGAACTGGCACATCCCAAGAGAGACCAAGTGGAAAACTCAGGTGATGATTAGATAAGGTTTGAAGTGAAGATAAAAGAGGAAATTGTGGATGAGACAGAGGAAAAGAAACTGCGGAAGTATGGTAGAAGAAGAATCATTAACAACATCCAGGAAACAACCAGAATCCTCCTCCGTAGGAAGATATGTTCGTATGTATTAATCAGCTTACCATTTCTCTCATTATAAACATTGTTCTAGATAGCCATATCATGCTGTACCTCATCTGCCATTTTCTCCATGCCAACTGCCCTACACACCAGGGCCAGTTCTGTTGGGTCGAGGTATCCATCAGTTCCCACTCCTAGTTTCCTCCAAGCCTTGCGTAGCTCTGCCTCTCCTTGGCCCCTCGGTGACTCAATCTCTGGAACGGTTACAACAAAGCTATGAAATAGATACACTCACTTGTTAATAGGTTAGTTTTAGATTTTTAAAGATTAAATTTAATTAGGGATGGACGAGATTGGATTTTTAGTTCGAGACGAGACGAGACGAGATTTTTTATTTCTCATAAAATTTCGAGACGAGATCGAGACGGGATTTCCCTTCTCATACACAACGGGAAATGCACGTTCAAAATTTTTACCTGATTTTGTAACATTGTTAGATGACTGTTTAAATACAAAAATAATGATAATAGGCAAGATTTACAATCTTTTATTAAAAAACATCAGCATAACATTTTTTTATTAATCACGCCTAACTTATTAAAAATGCCTACGATTAGGAAACATAGTGATATCAGTTAGGATAGAGTTCAACTTATCCTAAAATAAAATAAATCATAAAATAAAAGCAATATTAATTTTTATAAAATAGTTACTTGTTTTGACTTTTTATAGTAATAAAACATTCCTCACACTGCTTACACTTAACAAAACTTCTCAAATGTTATTAAAGTAATATTATTAAAATTATTAAAGTAATATTTACATTTAAAGAATTAATTAAATAAGAACGCCTTCGCAATGGAAACGCAACTACAACACGCTCCTGTATTGCGGGTATTGCATTGACTTTCTGCAGGCGTTTTTAATTTTTTTATTTTTTTATTTTTTTTATTCTCGTCTTGATAAAAATCTCGGCCAAAAATAAATCTCGTCTCGTGTAACGAGATTTAAAATTTCCCGAAATTTCGAGACTTGACCATCCCTAAATTTAATTGACACCAATATTACCAGTTCTTCGTGAAGATTTTACAGATAAGTTTTAAGTTTGTGACTACTTGTCATGGTCGTGTAGAGATCTTCGCCATCTCCTGCAATCACGGCAAACATCTTGTCCATACACAGCAATCAAGGAAACATCATCATAATTTTTTGCGATCACAAAAACATTTATCTTATCCTCCGCAGTTGTGGCAAAATATTGAACGTCTTCAGCAGTGACAGAAACAGCAACATCGTCTCCCATGACATCTAATATGCTTCTCAGATAGTTCAACCTTTTTACTGTTCCGACCATGTGACTGGGACGGTCCTGTATGTGACGGATTAGAGGGGTTGTAAAACAATAAATAAATCCTGGGGGGCATCAATGTTTGAAAAAATGTATGAAAAAATACAGGGTGTCTAGTTTATTTCCATTATAAAATTCAAGACTAATTCCAGACTTTTCAAGACTAATTCCAGATTTTTCAAGACTAGTTTTTTCAACAATTAGTGGGTGTTGATACCAAAATGTATCGATTCTCGATTCTTGATACAGTTACCAATTTTTATAGCTTAAAACCAAATTTTCTAAATAATACTACACCAGCCCCTGTCTTTGTCATAAAGTAGTATTATGATAATGTGGTGTTTTCAAGTTAAGAAATAATGCAGCAATAAAAAATTCTAACTAGCAAATTTGGTTTTTTTTTCAAGAAATCTTCCGCGTACCGTACGTTTAGACATCGTCATTGACTGCCGCAGTCACGGAAACGTTATCGTCGTCGTCCGCGATCACGGCAAAATCATGAACATTTCCCGCGGCCGTGTAGACATCATCATTGACTCCTACGGTCACGGAAACGTCATCGTCATCTTCCACGGCCGCGGAAACGTCATCGTCGTCCTCCGCGATCGTGGCAAAATCATGAGAACATTACCATCGCCCGTGTAAACATCAAAGTCATCTCCCGCAGTCACGGAAACGTCATCGTCATCTCCTGCGGTCACGGAAACGTCATCGTCGTCTCCCGCGGCCACGGAAACGTCATCGTCGTCCCCAGCGGTCACGGAAAGGTCATCGTCGTCTCCCGCGATTTTGGAAACTTCATCGTCATCGTCCACTATCGCGGCCAAATCGTAAACATTTCCCGAGGCCGTGTAGACATCATCATCATTGGCTTTCGCGGTTACGTAAACGCCAGACGACGATCGATTCAAAATAATGAAAACTCCCGAATTTGAAATCAAATTTAAGACTAAATCCCGACTTTTCAAGACCATTTTGAAATTCAATACTAATTCCCGAGTTTCCCGATTTTCCCGACTACTAGACACCCTGAATATATAATACAAATTTTGACTTGACTAGGTTTTTACAGACCTTCTTTGTCCAAAATAACAGCCTGTACAGAAGTTGGCGTAATCACAGAATCTCTTTCGTTCAAATCAAAGTCGTCAATTAACAAACTGCTTGGCTTTTTCTGAAACATCACAAGTTATCAGTCGATAAATAACAGCTGAGACATTAAAATTAAACTAAATTCAATAACAGTCACAAACCAACAAAAAATCTAGCTAGTTCTCATTTAGTTCTAGACTAGCTGTGTGCCCGTTCTACGCACGGGGATCTTATCATAGTCAGTTAAAACCTTCTTATATAAAGCACAGCAGTTGGTTTGCATACTTTCAGATATGCTGACAAAACTATTTCTTCGCAAATACAGTATCTGACAGTTTCAAGCCAAAACTAATGCTTCGCAATTAAATGTCACCCGGATCTTGTTGGTCCATATGTTATATCCAATGATTAAACTAAATAAACGGTATCAGCATTCTGACACATACTTTCTCCCATAAGTTTGTCAACAACCTTTATCATGTGTAAGCGGTGAGAGTAAATATACGGAAATGGGAGTTGTACAATTTTGTTCAGAATTTAAAGGACTATAACATAATGGTTAAAAGTATTTAAGGTACTACCTCAACCTCTTAATTTAACACTTTATTCGGGTTGACATTTTCATTATCAAGGCGCTCTTGTCCTTTCCGTGAAACATTGAGAAACAAGGACATTAATGCGTTACCATCATACATACACACGAAAATACCGAACTTAATTAGGGAATCTGCTACGCTTTAAGCATAAAAAAGTACATATAAAATTAGTACTTGAAATCTTTGTTAATGCCATAAAATTTGATCATAACAATTTATATTTGCTTGGACCGGAGATGACTCGAAATTCTGTTGAAATGCTATCTGAATCGGTTAGCTATATGAAATGAAGTACAGTAGGCCTACTATAGACGATTTAGATTGGTAATTTGTAATAAAAATTACCAAAATAGGCCACGAACTATTGATACATAAACAACGTTCAAAGTGTTTGAACAATTCATGATGGTTTGCTGAATAAATGTTCTACTAAAATGCGTTATAGTTTTCTTAGCATAACATTTTGGAATCCAGATAGAAAAAGCAAAAATTATACAGTTAAGACATCAATTAAATTGAATAGGCCTACGCCTGTAATAAATAAGGTGCAACACCAACGATAACTAATTTGTAAATTATTAAGGAAATTGACAGGAAAGCAGGCTTACCCTTGTGATGTTTTATGTGTCTCTATGGACTTATTTAAAGGTAAGCCTGCTTTCCTGTCAATTTCCTTAATAATAAGATAATTTGTAAATTACTGTGATGTGTTGGTACGTAAAAATGATTCTTGCTGCTACTAAAGGTTAAAAGGAAAAGAACCAGTACCGTACCAAAAACCAATGTTCACAGTTAAGAACTGTAGTACAGCCGACCAATTATATGCGTTAATCAAGGTTATTGATCTTTTGGTTTTGGTTTTTCTCGTAAAAAGTTATCAGCAATCAAAGTTATTTTCCATTAATTGCTTTATTTGTACACAACTCTTAATGTAAACTTATCGGTGTCAGTTTGAAAAAAAACCTTATACAACATAATTTTCTGTTATTTAATAGATTACATATTCTCTAAACAATGGTTGCTGGTATATATATTAACATTATAAGGAAATGTGACAAAAATCACACAACGTTGGGTTTTTGGACATTTATAATTTTATTTCTTAAGTACCTAGGTAGGCCGTGTATTCTATGGAAAAGTAGTCTACCGGTATCAAGGATCGTTGTCGAAAGGGTTGTTATAAATAATTGGGTAAGCATACGTACCACACGTACCCAAGAGAAGGGCTATGGGCCTATTGGCTGTATGGTCCAGCGATTGCATCACACGGTGAGTAGGAACTATTGACTTTATATAGTCAATGGTAGGAACAGAAAGTGACACATTGGAAAATCGAGTTCAGCATCATCCGTAAACCTCTGTTACAATCACCCACTGCAGTTGTAATTTTTTGCTTTACACTTTACACAACCGCCATTGAAGAGCCGTCAATGAGTGGAACATTGTTTCTAAGCTATTGGCGACGGTCATTAGTAAATTTAAGTTTCCCAGCCGTATACAACACTGATTCAATCTTGATTCAATGTCTTCTTTCTGGTTATCAAAACTCCAAAACAATTTTATACACATATTTCTGGTTCCTGACCTGGATGATGCCTAGTTATTTAAATTACGGTTACACTATATTATTCCACTTGCGATTAATTAAATCCTTTATGTAATAAAAACGTTTTTAATCTCACTTGGATGGGATTTGCCTTCAAAACGTGATCGGAAATGGTTGTGGTGTTTGTAAACAACATTTGTAAACATTTCAGTGACAGCTAGAAAAAATAATCTTGATCCGAACAGCTGTTCGTTGTTTCATAGATGATTATGTGATACAAATTGGAAGAAAACTTGACAAAAATCGCACAAAACTGCATTTTTGAATGTCCGTAATTTTAATTACAAAGTAGTGAGACCATATTTTAATGGCTAAAGACACTCTCGCCATTCCAGTGAATACATTAAAATGACTTGGGTCTTGATAGGTACTCTCGTTTTCCTGGAGAAGATTGCGTAAAATGCCATCTTGAGTGTGACAGACAGACAGACAGACAGAAATTTAGATGAGACTTGTTTCGGCTTCTTTAATGTATAAAACGTAAAAATAACCTAAAAATGTATGATTCTGAGCAATGTACAGACAAAACTCTAATTTTATTTATATAGACTAGAAGTGATTTGGGTTTAATAATATAATCTTGAAAATAAAATATATTCAGATTAAATTATGCAAAATATCTGAGATTAGAAGTAAGCTTTCATAGCATATGCAAGCTGAATATGTTAAAATTAACAAAACTTGTTACCTTTGTTGAAATATTGTCCTCACAGAGAGGCAAAAAAGGATCTTCATTTTCAACATCATTATCATAATTCTCATCATCGTCATCTTCTTGATCAGTACTTTCTGGTCTTGATCTGCGCCCATACTTTTTCTGGCCAAACACAAATTTTGGGGACACCTCCCGTTCTGAAATTGTGAAACAAAATTTTAAATGTACGGGTAATTACTATTGCTTGGTTAATATCAACTGTATTAACTTTAGATAGAGGTGAAATTGTATGTGTTGCGGCCAAGATCCAATTCCTGCATTGTTAGATGTAAATTTAATGATCTTGAAAACTTCTTTAATTGGATATAATTGTTACCCATCAAAGTCTTGTCTTTATATAGCGAGTTAACTAGACAGGAAAAGTAGAGACAGCCAGTTGTTGATTTTAAATGTAATTCACCACATCACTTGCTGTCTGTTAAACCCGGGTAAGTAGAGAGACTGTATGTGTACAATAACTAACTTAAATATCAGCCTTATATTGGTTGAGATATTGTTGCACAATTCATAAAATTTTCAGGTTTCACTGATGGGGAACAAGTTGGCCTAGTGGTACAGAGCAAGTTTTCCAATCCCAAGGTCCCGGGTTCAAATCCCACCAATCACTGGTGGATTTTACCTAAGTGATAATGCCGCAACCCTCTAAGACTAACCTGAAGTAATAAGTAACAGTTCCACGCTAGGGCCTAGACTCCTAAGATGTAAAGGTGAGCTAAAAAAAATAATTTACTGTCAAGTTATATAAGGTAACTAACAACACCATATTTTACTATGAAATAATTGTTGATTTTATTACTTAGCCTACAATAAGCATTATGTTACACATTTAAAATAAGAAAATCCTAGACATCGCACACTGACCTGGTGAAGGTTCTCTGTCCGATTGTCTACGGGAGGCAGCAAGCAATGCAAGCAGTGCGTCTCTGAACTGTTCAAATGTGAAGGCCGGCAGTAGACATTCCATTAGCTGACATCGGCCATCCTCCAGGTGTAACTGGTCACATAGCTTCATCAAACCATCTGAGTCGAGCTTGCCGACGCCTCTCACATCACAACTCTCAAACACTGCACGTAGTTGCTGCTCATACGGGTCTGTCATGGTCACTGTGTCTTGGCTCTGTGAATGAAGAGAGTATGTTAAACAAGATGCTCCCCAGTGGAGGAGTAAGTATCTTTAGGCACAATAATTTTATAAATATTAGGCCTACATATTTGGTAGACACAAGAGCAGAGTTCAAATACCAGTAAAGTTAATGTTCATTTCATTGCATTGATCACCAACAGCATGAATATTAATCCAGATAATTACAACACCAAAGTAGGTTATTGAATTCTTAACAACAAAATATTGAGCCTTAGGCCTATATTAGGCCTAAATATGAGTTCAGAAAAAGTCCTACCCTATAAAATGATTTTGAAAGCAACAACAAAATAAACTATTACAACATTAATTATTATTATTATAACAATAGTTGACTAGGCCTACATGAGACAATTATATTGATAATCTATTAAACTATATAAAAAACAAATCAAATACTTTATAGTTTCTTTTTAAATGGCAACCATACAAAGTAGGTATTTTAAGCCAAGAATGAATGGAGATGAGTGTAGGATGAGTGGCGCGATCTTGTAGTCTTGTTAGTGACTAAGGCCGACATTCCTTAGACACAGCTGTTAATTAATAGCCCATAAAGCTAATGCCAACTAAGGGACCTACATTTTATAGTGGAATCCGAACCACATTTTTGCCTTGGTATATACGAATTGGTCTAATTATCAGGATAGTACTACGGATAGTCGTAGTACTCACTCGTACGGACATTAATCCACACCAGGGAGTATGCATCCCTATAAATATCCACAATTCGTGACCTCCTAGTAGCTGGATTACAGGACGACGCCACAGGTCCCTACTAAGATTAGGAGTAACAATAAAAAGAGAAGATGAAGCTATCAAACAGGCATAACTTAACAAAGCCAAGGTTTCTTCCGAAGCTCTTCTTCTGAAAGACGGCAACTGTTCATTGAAAGTCAACTCGAGATCCACTTAATTTCCAAGACACTGTATCTGGGCAATCCAAAATGTATGGAGGAATTTTTGCCAGGTATAGCCTAAGTGAACAAAGTAAGTAGGCCTAGGCCTATCCAAAGATCGTGTTGCTCTAGTATAAGGAATTTCCTGCAGTAGGTTGTCAGAATGGATCGCACCATGGACTAGCTTAGAACTGGAAAAGCAGGTCAAGCAGCTTGGACTGAGATTGGAGAGGTTGGACGTTCAAGCGCAACTCTGAAGCAGCTCCAAAATTGGTGGAGTATGATAGTCATAGCTCAGGTACACACCGAAACTCGATGGAAGTGTTTGGTTTGCCTAATTGAGCCTTTTATGCCTTAAGTTAACTGTGTTAAATGTCACCAACATTATGAAACTCAAGCCTATTACCTTAGCAAAATTTTCCAACAGCTATAAACATGTTTACAGTAATAACTACAATCAACGACTTCCCTGCTTAGTGTGTACTAAGCAGGAGTCAGGCTCTCTCGAACTCTGAAGTGATATCCACCCTCACAATACTAGGAGGAAGGACGACTTGAATGTACCCTATGTTAGATTAAGAAAGGTCCAATCTAGCTATTGTATACAGAGATATAAGTTTTTTAACAAACTCCCTTGTACAGCTCGGAACCTGCCGGAGGCAAAATTCAAAATGGGGATAGAATCTCTTCTTTTGGCAAATCCAATTTACTCATTCAAAGAGTATTTTTGAAATTTCACCTGGCCAAGTAAGTAAGTTTTTTTAGCCAATGAGTGCCAATGTGTGATGATAAATAAGTTTTGTTTTTGTTTTTCAATTCTCTGCATGGTGTGTTGCAGGCTTAGGCTAAGATTTTGATGTATTGACGTTTCCTTGTACATATTATGCTTTCAGGAAATAAATCATTCTCATTCTCATTCTCTTGCTCAGAGTCCTCAGCCCAGGACACCAGAAGGGAAACTAAAAACTCCCAAATATCAGACATTCACTTAAGTTATAGCCTACATATCCTTTAAATCACAATTCAAAACCAAACAATTATAAGATGGGGATGCCACTATGTGTGTATTTTTACCCAAATATGAGTGTAGGATGACACAATCTTTTAGTCTTGTTAGTGACGAAGGCCACTATGTTCCTTAAGACACAGCTGTTAATTAATAGCTCATACAACCAATGGCAACTAAGGGACCTATAGTTTATAGTGGAATCCGAATCACATTTTTCCCCTTTTAACTAACAAAATGGTCTCATTAACAGGCCGCTCAACTGGACTTCTCCTGTGAGAAGCCCCTCCCGTCCAAGAAGAAGGTCTCCCTGCTCACTTGAGTAACCACACCCCAACACATATGCATATTTATCTTTTATCGTTGAAACCTGCTGAGTAAATTCATTGTTATTAGGTACTCTTTTAGTTTATTCTTTCTGTTATTACTATTTGTTATTACTTCGTTATTACTTGCTATTACTATTTATTATCACTTTGTTATTACTTTGTTATTAGGCTACTATTGTTATTACTTTTATAGTTAGTATACTATTGTAAATGCTATCTCATATTGTAAACACATATTTTGTAAAATGGTGCAATCCGTTGGGAAATAAATAAATAAAAAGGATAGTAGGTAGTGCATATAGTTGTAGTACTCACTAGTGCTAAGGTTAATCCACACCAGGGAGCATTGCATCCACAGAGCATGCCTAATATCCACGATTCATGACCTCACAAGTTTAGTAGGCTAGCTGGATTACAGGACAACGCCACCGTTATCGTGAGAAATTATCTTGCATTACCAAATACCAGTTTTCGTTACATTTCAAAATGTCTGCGAATTAATGGGTCCAAGGCTCTTGAGGAAGCTGCGTAGACATCAGAGGCTCCTTTCGCTGTAGTCTATGCTCTACACCTACATGTCGGACAATTTTCCACTGTAGAACTAATGTCGGTTGAACAGCCTGGCCACCAAAAAGATCCTTGAGCACGCCGACGATATTTCACTATGCCCAAATGTCCCTCATGTACTCTTGATAAGATTTCTTTTCTCAAGGCCTTTGGAATGAACATCCTCCTTTCCTTAACCCTCCGAGCGTCACTCGTCGAAAAATCGACGCGCGACACACTTTGTGTAGTGTCACGCGTCGATTTTTCGACTCACGAACATCGTTTCCGGCGAAGGCTCTATGACTGACTGAATCGGATTGAACTGGATCGAGTTAGGTATCGTTCTTTTTGTTATACTCTACGCTTTCTCCAGAGGTCTGTCTCTAAGCACTTTATGTTCTCCGAGCCGATCGTAATTGTAGCAGACAGCTGACGTGCGTATTTGTAAATAGCTAGGTTACCCTCGGACCGATGACTGATGTGTTTTATTACGTTTATCATTGTTTTAGTGTTAAAAATCAAAAGTAGTGATATACGTGGTGCATTATAAGAAGATTTAAGTGATTTTGAAGGGCTGGTTGATGATCCTGAAGAAGTAGGTAGTGATATTGATGTAAATTATCAGCCAGATTCCTAGCTATGGTTAGGCTATGCATTCTTAGCTAAACGCTATGTACTGAAATCTGTTTTTTGCCCATAACTTATTTATTTGCAAATCTACTTTCTTATATTATTATATATTTGTAATCCTCATAAAATTTAGAACAAAGTGGCTATTTTCAAATATTTACAGGCCTATAATTTATACAATTTCATTGAGCGCAAACTTATTTTTTTTTTAATTTTTCAAAATATTTTTTTTTACCTAAAAATTTTTTTTGAAACAAATGTTCCTTATGTTTTATGTATAATATTGAAGCCCATGATTTTCCAAACAAAATGGTATATAGAACAGTAGAATTAACATTGTTTTAAGCTTCTCAGATCCGTTTTAATAAAACCTTGCAAATGCGCCAAAAATAGGCGGACATTAAGACATAAGACATAAGACATAAGACATAAGACATAAGACATTTATTAATCATTTTTTACATATGAAATGCATAGATAGGTCAAAATGTTGGTTAATACATCTCGTATTCAGTCTTTGAGTAAATAAATGTATAAATATTTACTCAAAGACTGAATATGAGATGTATTAACCAACATTTTGACCTATCTATGCATTTCATGTATAAGGCCTAAACTATGGACACTCGGAGGGTTAACGATTAATCCGTGACTTAACAATCTGTCAATGAATAACTAAGAGTGTTGCAAAGAAATTATCCTTAACAAAGGACAGAGGAGAAGTAGGCCTAGGCTAACTTATAATTTGAGTTATGGTAGGTACCTAACTTAGGCTAGCCTACATCATGATCAGATCCTTTCGTTAACATAGAGAACATAGAAAAGAAAAGTAACGATCATTCCATGGCTGCACTTTAGTTTACGTCCTAGGCTACATTTACTATTAGGCCTATACATTAGGCCTAAGTTTAGGCTATACATTAACTACTATACTTGTCAGCTAATTATAAAATGAAACTACTCTAAACTTGGCCTAACCTTAACCAAACTGCAGTATGTGAGTAAATGTAGGACGTAAACTTAAGTGCAGCCCCTTCCGTTACCTAACATAACTTTATCACAGTTCCCCAGTATGACTAAATCTAGGTTATTGTGGCTTTGAAGGGTTAGGCCAATCCTGTATTTAATTTTTGGATACCTTAGGTAGTCAACTGCTTCTTCAAGCATCCACATAGCTTACTTAATAGATGTAAAGGTTTAGAGTTAGGCCTAGCCTATTGGTTTAACTAATAAGGAACTAACTTAGACCTTCATCGATTTCAGAACCTTCTCTTTGAGATTTTTGCCATTGGCTAGTTCCAAAATGTAAAACTAGAACCTATGCCTGAATTGGGCCTATTAAGGCCAAGAGATGGATAGATTATTTTGATATTTTCTAAAAGCCTAAAATGTTGTTGACCTATTCCCAAAATCTGTAGACCTCATGAAAAGGCTTTGGAGGTAACAAGGGCCATTAAATCAGGTCTGGTAAATCTTAAATAGGTTAAAAGGTTAACAATAAGCAGTAGAGTATGGTTGACATGAAATTACCTACCTTATTTTCCACATTACCGTGCAACATCTAATCATTAATAATTTCTTGGGGAAACAAACAGTTTGCTATACAGTGTATCATGACTAAAGATGATATGTATGTCTTAAGAATATTGTTTTAAACTATAGATACTAATAAAGGAACTTCAACTGATTTTCATGAGCAAATGATTGTGTAAGTAAATTTATCTTGAGCCAAAAGTAAGTGGTAGGGAGATACACAGACACAGTACAGTATTAATGGAATAACATTTAGGCCACAACAAAAAAATGACATAACGTAACTAACCAAACAGAATAAACCAACCAGCCATCGACTCGAGCCAACCGCCACATGATCAATTTACTAGTCAAGTCAGCTGTTTCGCTGTTTCAGAACTTTTTGATCCTTAAAAAGAGTCTTCAAACAAAAATGTAAGCAACAGTCATTGCCATTGATTTTAGTAGTACAAGTGGTAGTGGTACTATCCATAATTAGGAAATAATATTTCCTACATAATATATTACATCGATATAACTATCTATAATCTATATACTAATAGATATATATTAATTATATTATGTTATCAAAACATAGCGTAATGTAAAATGGTAGTTTTTACCAAAGTGTGTGTACTTAAAGGAAGAAAACTTTATACTCAAATTCATTTGTGGAAAGAAATACATTAAAGATTGACTAATAGCACTCGGCCAGTTAATATTAAAACTGTCAGGCTTAGCAATAGCAGGCAATTGTTAATTATTAAGAGAGACTGTGTCAATACACTACCCATTATATAATTTTCCTTTTGTACTGTACCTATCCTATAGGTATTGTGTTGATCGTGTACCTACCTACCACAGTTGGAATTTGGAATACGCCTGTGGAATTTTTGTAATGAAGTAAAGTCTAACGCTTTTAGTTATGAAAAAGCGGCCCATTCAAACCCTTTAAAAGTTTTGTGAATGTGCAACATACTCCCTTGTCTATGATTAAAAACCCATCCTTCCCGCACCAAAGTGTCTAAGGAATATGTCGGCCTTAGTCACTAACAAGACTAAGATCGCGCCACTTATCCACACTCATATTTGGGTTAAAATACTCACATAGTGGCGTCCCCATCTTAAATAATTGACAATTGATCAAAAAAGTCCGAGACGCTAACCACTAGGCTCGCAACCTGCCTTTTTTATTTCCCTTTTGTGGTCTTTATAATATAATATGTTCAGCTGTTCTTCGTTCTTTTTTATTTTGCAAACAAATTGCAGCAGTTTACATTCTGTTCACTGTTGTTCATCCAAACTAGAACCTCCCTCTGTTATCTTTTTTTTAATAGTATTTTACAATACAATTACAAACAACCTGTGTTCTGCCATTGATTCTCCAATCGATTCTGCCAATATTTAGGCCCATTAGTGATGTCCTCCATGTATGGAGTGGGGTTTGATCTTATTTAATCGGCGAGGTTGTTCATTTCAATAGAAATTTGTAAGAGAATCAAAGATTACATTCGGGGTATCATTCATATTGACAATATTGTTATCTCAAAACTCCTTTCAGACTCCGCCCCAGTGCAAGGCCCCACTAGAAAAACGTGGGGCCTTGCCCATTGGAGTTTCCCATGTTAACCTTATGGGTATTCACATTTAAAAGGAATTAAATAATTTTGTCAGCTGATTTGACCAATAAAAGTATTATATGATATTCAAATAGCATTAAAAGTTATAAGGTTTACCAACAGGGTAGCAGGCATAGACAAAAAGAATGAAATTTATTTAATTCTTTTTGTCTATGGTAGCAGGGCAGCACTATTATATTTTTTACTATTTATATTTTTCCATTGTGATAACAGCTAATTTGAAGTAAGCAGCATCAAAAAGCTGTGATACACTGTAACGAGTTATTTTTCCTAGGGGGGTAAATATTTGCTATTTGGCCGCGCACCTATTGTTGGCATCAGCAAGCGGCGGTGGCGAAGCAAGCGAGCGCCCTTTGACCCGGCTTATCGGTGCCGATAAGCCTGGGATATCCTAGTTTCTCAGGATAGCCTAGGACGGACATTCTAGTGGTGGATCTCGGACAGTCAAGAAGTGAGTGATTTGGGAGACGAGTGGCGTGTACGTTGGTGTGACTGGTGAGACTGGTGGACAGTGAGTGTCGGTGTAGAGTTGGGTATTAAGACCCACTACTGGTGAGTGGACGACATTCTTTTGATTTTGGTTAAGGAGCCGATATTATTAGTTTGATAATATTATTATCTGATTTTATTGCGAGGGTTAGAGTTGTAACCGTGCTGGTCAAAGCCTGACGGTAGTTAGGATTTATATTAGTCAGGAATAATATTAAAGTGTATTCCTGACGGTTCTGGGCAGGTGCTAGAGCGCAAATAATATAATTTAATCGACTGTAGTAGATATTATTTTGCGTTGTACCTCGAGTTAGTTATATTACTAATAACTCTGAGGCCCGACAAACCTAGGCTGCACGATTTAGCGTGCGTAGTTGGAAACACGTGGTCAGTAGGCTAGTAGCTAATATTATTAGCCGATTAACAGAAGCCCAGCTAAGTAACATAAAGTTGGTAGTAGCAGTAGTAGGGTTGTTATTGTTTATTCATTTGATTATTTTAATTTAACCTGAACAGCTTGCTTAGTAATCCAACACGTTAGCTTGGTAGCTTGGTAGCTTGGATAGCGGAGTACCGGCTATCAGATAATATATTTATCTAGTGTTTGGAACGTATTTAATATTTATTTATCTGTTACTAAGTAGCTCAATAATTTAATAGTAGTGCGATTGCCATTTAGCTTTGCTTGTTTGGCTTGGTATTTATTGAGACCAGCTACTAGTGGTGTAGTCACTCTACCTATAGTGCACTTGTATTGTTATCTGGTATTATTATTGAGTAAACTGTTTGGTTGTTAGCTTGGGCCATAGAGTTGTGTATTGGATTATAGTGGCCTAGTAGACCCCGCCTGGTGATAACACGCGTTGTGGTTTTTATTGGCAAGTCGTCGTGTAACTCACCGTGTTTTAGGCACTCTGGGCTTAACTATTGGATAGTTAGGACGAAGCCCGAGTTGCGTAGTCAGCAACGACCCCCTAGGAGTGTGGAGAATCGGCGTAGGCCTGGTAGTGATTATTGCACGTTTGTTTTGGTGACTTGTTTTTGACTTGTTCACAGTGCCCGTGTATGAGCCAGTCCTATACCGGTTAGACCCGGCTATTGGCCTAGTGGTTTCCCTGACCTTATCGCAGACCCTGGAACTTTACCCAGCCATCGTAGGCTGAGCTATCCCCGGCAAACGGTTGCGACGACTGCACTTTTAATATTTATTTTTTTTCCAGTGCAGAAGGTAGCGTCGCAAGATGGCGCCTGCGAACAGGGACTGAGGTTGGCAGTGGTGCTGAGTTGCTGACGTATTAACGGCGCCCGAACAAAATAATTTTTTTTTGCAGATTTGCTTCAGACTTGTGCAGATTGGCTGCGGACCTGAGCTGTTGAGCAGAGTTCTAGGCAGACCTGCTGTGATTTTATAGTCGGTTGGGTAGGCCTAACCTGTTTTCTGTTACAGCGTGGTGTGTTGTGAACCCTTATTTATTTAGTGGTTGTATACATAGATATTAGTTGGTAAATATTATTTTGCTAATTAATTGAGCTTTAGTGTTGAATATTATTTGAGTGAGAACCCTTATTGTGTATTTGTGGTTTGACTTTCACACCTATAATTGGTTTGATTTATTATAACGGTGTTAAATACATTTTAATTGGTTTCGATCTTATTTTTGCGGATTTGTCGTGGTATTTGGATTTTAAATATGGTTGTGACTACGAGCACGACGTCTGTGCTAGGCGGTACGCCTATCACGTCTGCTATTGTTACAACTAGTTCTGGGGTTAGCTCCGAACTGTCGGTGATGACGACGTCGTCATTGTGGCCTGCGTCTTCGCCTGTTTGGCCGACTATTTCATCGGTCGTGGGTACGACGGTGACAACGTCTCTGACCTATTCCGCGCCAGCGACTATGTCCTTGGGGTCGCAGCCCCGGGACGGTCGCGTGGGTTGGATATATGACCTCTCGAAAGGGGAGCTCATGAGGACGATGGACCAGTATGGTTTGGTGACCACTGGGACTGCTGCAGAATTACGGCAGAGATTCTCGTCGTTTTGGAAGCAGCGGAATGCCCGTCGGTACAGCGATGACAGGCTGTGTACGGCTGGGGCTGCTGCACCGACATATGTACCGCCGGCTACTACAACTGTGGGACTTCCTGACCCCCCGAGAACCGTACCTCAGGTACTGGGTAGTACTGATTCGGGCCAAATAGAGATAGTGGAACGTAGCAGGGAGTTAGAGGCGGTCAAAGAGATTCTTGGGTTGTCTTTGGAGACTGATACCCGGACTCTTCGAGAATATCTGGCATCGGTGGTGCGACAGGCGAGAGGCTCGCCGAGTAATGAGGTCGGTTATGGGTTCGAAAGACCTGCCAACCCTACGTCCCCTGTTGTGGCTGCTCCCATGCCTACCTTTGGGTTACCAAGTAGACCCGAGGGATGGCAGCGACCTAGTGATCATTCGGAGAGACCAGTCCGTCCTTCTAGCGTGGAGGTGCCACGTGGATCGGATATGCTCTCGAATGAGGCCAGCAGGGTGGAGCCGAAGAATTGCTCCAAGATATGTGACATTGTCCGAAAGTGGGGTTTGAAGTTTGATGGACGTAGAGACCCTGTGTCATTCCTGGAGCGTCTTGAAGAGCTGATGGTCTCGTACTCTATATCGTCGGAGGACCTGCTCAGAGCGCTGCCGGAGCTGTTGCAAGGCTCAGCGCTTCTATGGTACAGGAATTGCAAGGAGCTCCTGTATTCCTTTGAAGCTTTCCGGCGTCAGTTTGAAATCCAGTTCTTCCCACCAGGATATTGGAGGAACTTGGATGAGGAGATCCGGAAAAGGACACAGGGTGAAGGCGAGCACTTCCGGGACTACGTTGTTGCCATAAGTACCTTGCTTAGGCGTAGTGGTACGTTGTCAGAGCATGGTAGATTGGACTTGATCTACAACAACATGCGACCAGAGTACAAACTCATGGTGCGACGGCGGGACTTCCGCAATCTGGCCGAGATGGTTGAGTTAGCCGAAGATTACGAGGCCTATCTGCGAGAGAAGGCGGCCTTTAGACCTCCTCCTTCTCCGAACGTAGCGCTGGTTTTGGAAACCGCCTACACACCCAAAAAGAAGGTGGAGAAGCGTGCCAAAACTGCCGCCGTCGAGAAGCGGAGTTTCGAGAGACCATCTCCGGAAGCCGAGTCGCGTGGACGGGTAGCTTTGAAGTCGGATCGGGTCCACGGTCAACGGCCCGTGACAGCAGCTAGAGCGCCTGAGGGTCCAAAGGGGACGGTGAAATGTTTTAGGTGCCAGGACATTGGTCACTTTGCCCGAGAATGTGGTGAACCAAGGACCGTCTCCTGTTATGGGTGTGGCAAACCTGGTTTGACGGTAGTCAGTGTGGATGTCGGGCGGGAAACGGCAGGCCAGCCCAGACATCAGGAGGTCAACTGGGCAAGGCCACCGACAACGAACGACCTCAGAAGAGTGGTCCGAGTGGCTCGGAAAACTAAACAGCCTGGTTGGTGGAGTAGACGAGGACCGGCTAACTTTGGACTCTAGGCCCTTTGTTGAAGTTGTGCTGATGGGCAGCGTTTTCGTGGCGTTACTGGACACTGGGTCCGTCATCAACTTGGTTGGGCGAGGAGTCGCCGAACATCTTCAACGCCAGGGGATAGAGCCATGTAAGAAGGCCACTCCTCTAAGGATGGCAGATGGGTCACGGTCGAGGGCCGAGTGTTCGTTTCGGCTAGCAGGAGAAGCTGCGGGAAGACGGTGGATGGGAGATGCCTTGTATGTCCCCACTCTCACCATAGACATGATTCTGGGTATGGATGTTATCCGAGACCTCGGATTGGGGACATGTGGGACAGAGGTAGTAAGAATGGGCGTGGGTGATGACTGTTCTGGTCAAGTGGGCCGCATGGACAGTGTCAAAATTAGTGACGAAGACCCCGAAGGCCCTTGCAATGGAAATCCCCGTCTGATTCCTGATGCCAAATCTTTCAGTACCATGTTGGCTGGTAGTGGCTAGTAAAAGAGTTTTTCTTTGTTTGAGTTTGAGACCTGTGGTGTAGAATTCACCATTGGGTTAGGGGCTGGAGTATTTTGTTTTGGCCGGAGTTCAAAGATTTTTTTTTCTTTTTGGCCGTTTTCTTTTTTTTCATCCCGATGTAAGTGGGGGATGTAACGAGTTATTTTTCCTAGGGGGGTAAATATTTGCTATTTGGCCGCGCACCTATTGTTGGCATCAGCAAGCGGCGGTGGCGAAGCAAGCGAGCGCCCTTTGACCCGGCTTATCAGTGCCGATAAGCCTGGGATATCCTAGTTTCTCAGGATAGCCTAGGACGGACATTCTAGTGGTGGATCTCGGACAGTCAAGAAGTGAGTGATTTGGGAGACGAGTGGCGTGTACGTTGGTGTGACTGGTGAGACTGGTGGACAATGAGTGTCGGTGTAGAGTTGGGTATTAAGACCCACTACTGGTGAGTGGACGACATTCTTTTGATTTTGGTTAAGGAGCCGATATTATTAGTTTGATAATATTATTATCTGATTTTATTGCGAGGGTTAGAGTTGTAACCGTGCTGGTCAAAGCCTGACGGTAGTTAGGATTTATATTAGTCAGGAATAATATTAAAGTGTATTCCTGACGGTTCTGGGCAGGTGCTAGAGCGCAAATAATATAATTTAATCGACTGTAGTAGATATTATTTTGCGTTGTACCTAGAGTTAGTTATATTACTAATAACTCTGAGGCCCGACAAACCTAGGCTGCACGATTTAGCGTGCGTAGTTGGAAACACGTGGCCAGTAGGCTAGTAGCTAATATTATTAGCCGATTAACAGAAGCCCAGCTAAGTAACATAAAGTTGGTAGTAGCAGTAGTAGGGTTGTTATTGTTTATTCATTTGATTATTTTAATTTAACCTGAACAGCTTGCTTAGTAATCCAACACGTTAGCTTGGTAGCTTGGTAGCTTGGATAGCGGAGTACCGGCTATCAGATAATATATTTATCTAGTGTTTGGAACGTATTTAATATTTATTTATCTGTTACTAAGTAGCTCAATAATTTAATAGTAGTGCGATTGCCATTTAGCTTTGCTTGTTTGGCTTGGTATTTATTGAGACCAGCTACTAGTGGTGTAGTCACTCTACCTATAGTGCACTTGTATTGTTATCTGGTATTATTATTGAGTAAACTGTTTGGTTGTTAGCTTGGGCCATAGAGTTGTGTATTGGATTATAGTGGCCTAGTAGACCCCGCCTGGTGATAACACGCGTTGTGGTTTTTATTGGCAAGTCGTCGTGTAACTCACCGTGTTTTAGGCACTCTGGGCTTAACTATTGGATAGTTAGGACGAAGCCCGAGTTGCGTAGTCAGCAACGACCCCCTAGGAGTGTGGAGAATCGGCGTAGGCCTGGTAGTGATTATTGCACGTTTGTTTTGGTGACTTGTTTTTGACTTGTTCACAGTGCCCGTGTATGAGCCAGTCCTATACCGGTTAGACCCGGCTATTGGCCTAGTGGTTTCCCTGACCTTATCGCAGACCCTGGAACTTTACCCAGCCATCGTAGGCTGAGCTATCCCCGGCAAACGGTTGCGACGACTGCACTTTTAATATTTATTTTTTTTCCAGTGCAGAAGGTAGCGTCGCAACACTATGAGAACTGTCAAAGTAGGATTTTTTACAGTAATGTTTATGTTTTTAATAACATAATTAATACATAATTTGTGATATTGTGTGAATGTTTGATAATTTACTTTTTTATATTGTTCAGGTCCAGAGTTAGAACACAGAATGGCTACGGTAGATGTGTAATACTATACTGTATATACTATACTATATCTGTAATACTACAGCATACCGTAAATATAAAGAACCGAATTCTCTCAAGCCCCCCATTGCAAACGCAAATCTAGAGTAAACTACAACGTTAATTGTTAAAGTTTTGATAGTGTATGGATTTTTAACTAACCAAGTTTACATTAAATCATAAAGCTTTCAGCAACATAGCTTGTGATGACTGATGAACAGATAATAACAAATCAATAAAAAAATATCTGAATGAGTTTATAATTGGCTAGGCGTTATTTAAATAAATATAGGCGACTGTGAGCAAATATTTTTTCTCTTTTAATTGATTAATATGTTAACACTCATTTTTAGGCATAGAAAAAATATTTAATCGAAAATCCTCCAGCAAATTTGTAATTTGATGTACATACCATAAAATTGTCATACAATAAGTTGTACATGGGCTACATCAGCTGACAGTAGATTTTTGATGGTCTGTAACTGGATCCTGGTTTTTCATTGGACAAAACACTCACTTTTAAACTACTGAGGACGATTTTATTGAAGAATTTCGTTCGATAGATACAAAACACTTATAAAACATAGGAATTCTTGTACAATTATTTCGATTCAAAACAAATTTAAACATGTTGTTAGAAAATATTTCTTTCATAAGATATTACAACTTTTCCCTCATATTGGATATGGAAGAATAATGAGCAACAGATCAGAATGTTCACCAACTGCCGTAGCTACCACCACCGCCGCTACCACCGCTGCCGATACCACTGCTGCCGCTCCCACCGCTGCGTTTAGCCCCTGCAATACATATAAAATGTCAAATATTTACTATATTTAATAAATCAATTTAGCTGTAAAATTACACTATAGACAACTTGTAGCTTATCCCATTCTTTTCTCAATCTATCACCTGGTAAATCCACAAGTCCGTATAAAGTGCAACTACCTTCAACATGGTTAAACATTGTGAAAGTCTAAGTATTCGTATTCCAAATATAAAAAAATGTAGCTAAATAGTACAGTGTAACTTGAAACTAAGACATTGTGGGCAATATATCGTATTTTAACTGAGAAAAATATGCGCATCTATATAAAATTAACTGTACTATGTAAAGAAAATGTAATAGCATATTCTTATACTCTGGTTGTGTCATAAGCTTTGCATGGGGGTTAGGAAGTAGATTTGGTTCTTAAAATGAATATATCAATTTTATTTATATGTACTGTAGAAAACTGTCATGAAAAATGGAATCTCAATAAATTTATTGCAAAACTAAAACTGTACAAATATATAAATTACATTTTGGATACTCAATACTGAAGTAGACATACCATCTAAGGTTTGTAGATCAATTACACTGTAGCCTATTTTCTTATTAGAGCTTTAGTACTATTTAACATTATATTTTCTCCCTTAAGCTTTCAGTTTCAATAAGTTATAGAATGGATATAGCAATAGGTGATCATTTTGGTGTTGTTTAAACGTTGGCGTGTTTATAAATCGGTAATTTAAATCAGTACACTGTGTCAATGTCTTAATTAAAGTTAACTTCTATTCTAAAACTTCCAACAAATTTATTAGATGGAGTGTCTACTACTATCATTACCTCAAAGTTAACAAGCAGTCTTAGTTTTCATTACTGAAGTAAATAATTTCAATACAGACCTGGTCCTCTATTTGCTCCAAGGAGAAAGTAGTTGGATTTAGCACCAGGGATGTTGGCTTCGTAGCCGTATCTGTCGTCAGTGTCTACAATGTTGAATCCATATCTGCCATCTGATCCTTCAGAACCACCGAAACCTCTTCCTTGATTACCAAAGCCTCCCCCTCCGTTACCCTGACCTTTTCCTTGGCCTCCAAAACCACCTCCTTGGCCTCCAAAACCTCCACTTTGACCACCGAAACTCCCCCCTTGCCCTCCATGTCCACCGTTTCCACCTTGCCCTGGAAGATAGCCTCCACCTCCCCCTCCTTGGAACTGGCCACCCCCTGGAATTGGCTCTTGGTGGGAAACTCCCACCAAAACCATCACTAGGGCTGCAATACACTGAAAAAGAAAATATTTAGATTTTCAGGATTCATTATGAAACAACACTCTTTGCAAAAGCAATTTAGGTTATGGTATTTTTGACTATAAATAAAAATAGATTTCCATCAACTTGTTTAAGCCGGAAAGAGCTTTACAGTAAAAATGAACGTATCTAGTTGAGTCGATCCACCCACAGAGTGCACTAAAGGCCATTATGCAACCTTTTTACCAAGCCACAAAAACTGATAGGTCATCTCTTGATTGTAACTATATTATCTTTCATATCACATGAACTATTACAGTAAAAAACTAAAGGATGAATAGTTATTTGTGTAACTAGTGTGCAATGTGACACTTTGCGCTCGTGTTACACACATTATATTTTTCCTACAGTTACTATAAAGCATGAATACTAGAAAAATACCGGTATGTATCATAAACTTAAACAAATGACGTTTTTGACCCGAAAGTAAACAAAACCCCTATTCTAATAGCATTAATTAACATATGGTTTTGTTTAATTTCGGGCCAAAAACGTCATTTGTTTATGTTTATGGTCCATCATACCGGGGTTTTTCTAGTATTCGTCCTATAAAGCATAGAAATAATTAGTCTTTCAAACACTAAACAACACGTTTTAGGTTAGGTTAAATCCAAGCGTTGAACGAAATGGAAACACTGCACCAGCTGATCGTAGTCGTAGGTAGTATCATTGACTATTGGATACTAATAGTCAAAGGTAGTATTTTGCCAACTTATTTTGAAGCGTACACGTATTACGTGCCTAATAAACAGTGTTGGGGAAGCTAATTTTTCGCTAAGACTTTTCCAAAGACGTTTCTTTTATTCCACGCACATTAGGTAAATGTAAAATTAATATCAACAAAATGTTTTTGAACAAACACTCAAACAACAAAATGTCAGTGTTGTATTTAACATTACTTGGAAAACAACTTATTCCTAAGATTATATTTAATTTGTTGGCATCATAAACCTAACATTACAACAACACAACCAAAATAGTTGGGTGTTCGTTCATATTTAGTACGTTGTATTAATAGTCAAAGTTAGTACTTATTTGTAAATTATTGCATTATTTATATTTTTAAGCATCGTATATGTAAATTTCATTGAGTTCAAAGGACATACAACCAAACTATTTTGAAAAGCTAATTTTATTTCTTAATTGTACATTCATTTATAGATATGTCTTATATCAACAATTAAAAACACTAAAACTGTAAAACGATTATTTAAAAATATTTTTTTGTGTTACAGAGCCTAGCCTACTGAAACTGGAATTTATTGCCTTTCTTTATTTTTAATGTTAAAAGCGAAATTATTCATGCATTTAAAAAAATAAACATAACTCTTAACAATCCAATTTTGACAGTTCTCATTGCCTATCACAGTATTTTGTTGATGCTTAGTTCAAATTAGCTGTTTTCATAAATGCAAAAAAATAATAGTGCTGCACCCTGTTGGTAAATCCCATAACTTTTTAATACTTTTGCATATCATAGAACAAACTTTTTAGTTGGAACAGCTGACTAAATTCTTTAATTCCCTTTAAATATGAATACTCATAAGGTTAACATACTCTTAACTACAGAGCCACTGGGGCGGAGCCCGAACGGACTTTTGAGATAAGAATATGCCTATATGTTAATCGGGAATATGAACTATCGTCATGCCAGATTTTAGCCCAATCCGTCCATTAGTTAATGCGTGATTGAACTTCAAACAAACAAACAAACAAACAAACACACAAACTTTCATATTTATAATATTACTAGTGGAACCCCGTCCCGTCGAAATCGACGGTTAATCTTGAGGTTTTATGTAAATTCAGCTAACTGCGTTGGATAGAATGAAGTCATTAAAATCTTAGTTATATGAAGGGAGGATAAGCAATAATAAGTATGACGATTGTGTTCCCTAAAAAACGTGATTGATGAATTCGTTTAACACAATATTTTCTACCTTTCTTTTTATCGGCTTTAGGTTGCCCAAAAGGTTTTTTAGGAGTCTTATAATTGTTTCTTCATGAGTTTGTTTCATACCAAAGCCACTTTCACTATATGGGAGAATGAGTTCATATAATTAGTCTATCATGTTACGGAAAGAGTCAATATTTATTACTAACCACTAATTCCATCTGCTTTAGGAAAATCATTCAGATTGTATCCGGATTTATAAGTAAATTCCTTTTGCACAATTTGAAACATACTTATAGTAAAAGTTACTATAAATATATGCAGACTGGGACGGTGGTGTCGTCCAATCAAACTACTAGGAGGTCACGAATTGTGGATATTTATAGGCATGCACTGTGGATGCGACTTGTGAGTACTACGACTATCCGCAGTATTATCCTGATAATTACTGTCGAAAACCAGTAGATTTACTGTTAAACTCTTTGTCCGCAGTACTATCCTGATATTAGACCAATTTGTTAATACCAAGGCAAAAATGTGGTTCTGATTCCACTACTAGGTCCCTTAGTTGCCATTATTAGCTATATTAGCTAATAATACCATTATTAGCATATGGGCAATTAATTAACAGCTGTGTCTAAGGAATATGTCGGCCTACGTCACTAACAAGACTAAAAGATCGCGCTACTCATCCTACACTCATCTGCATCCATAACATGGCTTTAAATACCTACTTTGTATGGTCGCCATTTCAATGAAAAGTATTAAAAAGTATTAAAAGGAGGCCATAGTAAATTGAAGCGTTCGTGTTATTTGTAAGTATTATTTTTGTATGTGTGGTTATTTTATGTAACACTAGCTGTAACCCGCGGGCTTTGCCCCGTTTAACTTCTTAATTTTCAAGATTATCTCGTTCGCATGGCTCAATCACGTCCTGGTTGAAGTTAGTTCGCTACGCTCACTCACCTTTAGGTTGGAGCTCGTTCGCTACGCTCACTCACCTTTAGGTTGGAGCTCGTTCGCTGCGCTCACTTGCCTTCAGGTTAGCTCGTTCGCTACGCTAACTCGCCTCCAGGTTGAAGTTCGTTCGCTACGCTCACTCACCTTTTGGTTGCAAATTAGCTGTTGTCATAAATGTAAAAGAAATAATAGTGCTGCACCCTGTTGGTAATCCTTGTAACTTTAATGCTATTGAACATCATAGAACAGAACCAACTTAACAGCTGTTAAGATTCAATAATTCCATTTCTCATAAGGTTAACATGGGAAACTCCAGAGCCACTGGGGCGGAGCCCGAAAGGATTTTTGAAATAAGAATATGCCTATATGTTAATCGGGAATGTGAGCTATCATCATGCCAAATTTCAGCCCAATCCGACCAGTATTTTTCGAGTTTACTTTTCCCATACACACATACACACATACAGCAACCACCTCTTTTAGCGAATTTCCCATATAGGGAATAAGCTATTACCGTAGTACTCATGGTAAGACCTGGACGCGGGACCGATTTTTTTTTTCATTTTGAGGTCCCTAGAGGCCAAAAACACCATCCGTTCAAATTCATATATATATATACTAAATTTATATATATATATATATATATATATATATATATATATATATATATATGTGTGTGTCCGTTAGCACGATAACTCGAGCAAAAATGATCCGATTTTGATGAAATTTGGTACAAACGTGTAAACCTATGTTTATTCGAACGAGTTCGCGATCCAGCATGATCGGACCATGGGAACGGGGGTTTACGGGGGGTTTTATGGGGTAAAAATAGGTTTTTCCCATTTTTGACCCAAAAAACATAAAATTTAGCAATTTCTTTCCAAACCATTTTGTAGAGCTTAAAAAAACAAATAATTTAGTATATTGAAGCGTTATTATGCGCCTAATGGTTACGGAGAAAATTCCAAAAAATTTTAAATTTAAAATTCCCATGTTATTCTTATGGAGAATAAGTAAATTGTTGTAGTTTGCTTGTTTATGAACATATTTTGATCAAATTTGGAAAATGTTTTTATTTCTTACTAACTATTAACGTTTTACAAAAAAAAAAAAAAAAAAACAGTTTCACCCTCCCTGATGCAGCAAACCTAATTACTAGTTAAACTAATTCTATTTAAATAGAGAATAAATGTTATATTTTTAAGTAGACATTTCAGTGTAAATCCAATCAGTCATATGGAAATTCGCTTAGTCTGCAGGTTTGCTGCGGCGGGGGTATTTTATAATAGTATAGATAGATTAATAACAATCAATGATTTCTTATACACTACAGATAGTTGTAGGATTCGGGATTTCCACAATTTGCTTCCAATATGTAAAAAAATGAATGTACATAAATGAGCGTATCTTATAAACATAAAATATAGGTTTAAACATACAATATTGTCATAGGTGCACCAGTACCACTTTTATGTACTCCCAGGTAGCCTAAGTGCTCATGAGTTAACAAACATAGACTTATATTAAGATAACTTATAGTTGAATTTCATTTCTAGATTTGTAAAACCAAATACGGCATTTTACGTTTGCCCGCGTTTGCCACGATTACTAGATAATGTGGCAACGTAGTTCCAAGTGACTGTATTATTTTGTATTTATTTGTTTTGAAGGAATACACTCATTATTTCATTATTTAATTTTCAAAGAACCAGCATTGTCTCCTTTACGTTCTGATCCCGTTGTAAGCACTGGTATAGTGACTGGTAAAAAATCCTAAAAACAATATTGTTATTTACTGTTCCACAAATTTTATTAGAATTTTGCCAGGAGACCGAACTTTGCTCGGATTGAAATAGACATTTATTAGATGTTTAACGTAAAATCACAAAAATATAAATCCTCAAACGAAAATAAAATAAACGTTTTTTTTTGTTTTCCGTAAACGCGCTTGTTTTAGTGTATGAGATTGCCAATTTAGTACATCGATGTTAGTTTGCCCAGTTACCGCTAGGTGTCACTAGTAGTCACGTTCGCCACAGTCCGTCTAGTCACCGCTAGGTAACGCTGATATCCAATTTTCAATCCACTATCTGTTGTTGAGACATTTTATCCATAATTCTA